GATTCGCGGACTCCACCCTGGATTCCACTTGAGCAGAGTGTATCCCTGCCCTCGAGACACGCACGGGAACTCGTCGGTGACCAGCCTTGACTGCGTACCCTTTCCCTGCCTTTTCGCGTCGTTTCGGCCTGTGTACCAGCGGGCCCCGTTGTGATGCCGAATCACAAGGAAGGTAACTGAGGGAGTATTCGAGTTATGGCTCTTAGGGTGCATTTGGGTTAAATTTGAAGTGCGCTCCATCTCGACCCGCGTAAAAAAGAATTTAGATAAATTAGAGGCGATCGAGAGGGATCAAATGAAACCTAACAAAATGTGGCTCCCACTTGGGCAGGGTTTCATTTGTGTTGTCTTGTGGGTGCGTTTGTGAGCAAGGGAGACGCCGAAGCCTCTTCTCTCCTCTGCTTTTCCGGTCTCCTCCTCCCTCTCTTATTTCGGTGATGAGAGGCGGCGCCGAGGTTTTCTGCAGCGTCGCCGGTTCCTAGAGGAGTTCGCGGTGTCAGCGGCCGCCTTTTGCTGCTCCCCCGCCTCTGATAGTTGAAGGATCGGGCGGCCTCGAGTTCATTTCGGTGTTTCGATCGCGTTTTACCCGATCTGCCAACATCAGCTGGCGGAAACCGTGAGCTCTCTCAGCTGATTTTTTTGACTCTTTCGATGTAGTCTCTAAGAATACAAATGAGGTTTTCTTCCATCCGATATAGTCAACTTTCAAGGTTTGGTCGTTGTCTTTGGTTTAGTAAACGCCTGACAATTCCAGGTGCTTTGGTTTTGGTCTGCTTGAGGCAGATCCATTCTCTCAGTCGAAGTCATTCTTGTGGCCGGATTTCGTTGCAGAAATGCTTCGATGGCTGCATTTTGTGAAAAAGATTCGAGCTTTGTGATTCCATTATTTCTGTTCATCTCTCGCCAATCTGTGATTTTGATCATTCTTCTGATCAATTTGTAGTTCTCAGGCCTAATTCATGCCAACCGCAGCATGTGCGGTGGTCCGGAGCGCATAAGACCGTCCCCCTCGTCTTTGTCGTCGCCGACTCCATCCTCACAGGAAGAACAGCAGCAACACGCTCCGGGCCTCGGAATGAATCACCTCACCGTCGAGACCGATGACTTCTCTTCAAGCCTTCTTGAGCTCGCTGCCAACGATGACGTGGACGCGTTCCGGCAGTCCCTCGATCGCGATCCATCGGCCATCAACGAAGCCGGCCTCTGGTACAGCCGCAGAAAGGGCTCCAACCAGATGGTGCTCGAGCACCGGACTCCCTTGATGGTGGCCGCCACGTACGGCAGCCTCAGTGTCCTCAAGCTCATAGTCTCCCTACCTTCCGTTGACGTCAACCGTGTCTCGGGCCCCGGCAACGCCACCGCGCTCCACTGTGCCGCTTCCGGCGGTTCCTCGGATGCTGTCGATGCTGTGAAGATCCTCCTTGCGGCTGGTGCCGACCCCACTTTGGTCGATGCCAATGGAAACCGCGCGGCTGACGTCATTGCGGTGCCTCCCAGGCTGCCTGATGTGAAGAATGCCATCGGACAACTTCTTGGAAGGTGCAGCGATATCTCGGGTGGTGGCTTCGATCGCCATCATCCTCCCCTTAGTGTGACGACCAGCTCGTCAAACTCCACTTCGCCACCCCGTTCTTTGTCCCCTGACGAGGAGGGTTCTCCATCGGCCCGCTCGACTTCCTCTCCTCCGACAGCGAAGTACCCTGACCTTACAGTGACTGTGTCGGAGAGGAAAGAGTATCCAGTTGACCCGACTCTCCCGGATATCAAGAACAGCATATATGCCACGGATGAGTTCCGCATGTTCTCGTTCAAGATCCGCCCCTGCTCTCGTGCGTATTCCCATGACTGGACGGAGTGCCCCTTTGCCCATCCTGGTGAGAATGCTCGGCGGCGCGACCCGAGGAAGTACCACTACAGCTGCGTCCCGTGCCCTGACTTCCGGAAGGGGTCGTGCCGGAGGGGAGATATGTGCGAGTACGCACATGGGGTCTTTGAGTCCTGGCTTCACCCAGCGCAGTACCGCACTAGGATCTGCAAGGATGGCACCAGCTGTGCTCGCCGGGTCTGTTTCTTTGCGCACACGGATGACGAACTCCGTCCACTTTATATGTCCACTGGCTCTGCTGTTTCTTCTCCCAGAGCATCAACTGCTTCAGTGGAGATGGCAGCTGCGCTGGGGTTCATGCCTGGGTCACCGTCTTCGGTTTCTGCTGGTATGTCTGCCTTCACGCCACCCATGTCCCCTTTGGCCAATGGTATTGGACACTCTTCGTTGGCTTGGCCTCAGCCGAATGTGCCCATGCTGAATCTTCCTGTAAGCAATCTTCAGGCTAGCAGGCTGCGGTCGTCTCTGAGTGCAAGAGAGATGCCAGTGGACGACCAATTAGTAATGTCTGAGTTTGATAAGCAGCAGCTGTTGAATGACTGGTGCCAATCTCGTCTGAGCTCTTCTACTGCAAATCATTCTGTTCGAACCAAAGCTATGAACCCCTCAAACCTTGATGACCTTTTTTCAGCCGAGATCACCTCATCTCCAAGGTATAATTCTGATCAGGGGTGTATTTTTTCTCCATCTCACAAGACTGCTATACTAAATCATTTCCAGCAGCAGCAGAACTTGCTCTCACCCATTAATACAGGTGTGCCTTCGGTGAAGGCCACTGATGCTCAGCAGCTACCTGTTCATTCATCTCTCTTACAGGCCTCCCTTAATATCTCATCTCCTGGTTTCATGTCTCCACGAAGCATGGAGCCTGTTTCTCCATTGAGTTCTCGCCTGGCTGTTCTTTCACAGAGGGAGAGGCAGCAGCAGACACTTCGGAGTCTGAGCTCCCGTGATTTTGGTCCCATATCATCGCCGATTCTGGATTCTCCCACTAACTTGTCATGGTCCAAGTGGGCATCTCCGTCTGGTATACCTGATTGGGGAGTGAATGGTGAAGAGCTGGGACTTCTCAGACGATCATCTTCCTTCGAGTTACGAGGAACTGGGGATGAGCCTGATCTGTCATGGGTCCATTCACTAGTGAGGGATACACCGCCTGAGAAAATGGTTTCTGCTGCAGTGGCTCCTGCAGGGCCTTCTGACTTGCCTGCCATTGGTGTTGAAAGTTCAAATTCAAAAGGTGAGATGGATGGGCATGATCAAGCTGTGGTACTTGGTGCATGGCTTGATAACATGCAGCTTGATCAGATCATAACTTAGGTAAAAAGCCAAATTTTCACCAAAATCGTAGATGGGAGGTATCAAGTAGTAATTAGCAACAGTTCTTAAACAATGCTTTCTTTGGGTTAATTGGAAGGTGAAGGGAAAGAAGCAGAAAGGAGTGAGATTCATTTCTTCAACAAACATATTTATTATTACTTCAATGAGTTCAGCCAATTCCAGGATGTATGGGGGTGTGCTTCTGGATTATACGAAGGCCTATCCCAGGTGAACTGCTCTCCAATAGTTTGAACATTTTGCTTATTTTTTTTCTTTTGTTCGTAATCCCGAAATCTCAAAACATCAGTTTATGCTTGATGACAATGAAACTTGTCTAGTTTTCTTTTTAGTCTTTACCCTCAACGTTCACATTTGGTTAATTATAATGCTTGATGTAATGATACTGGGCAATGGAGAGGAAAGGGTTCTCTTTGGAGTCCATTTTGGGTATCTTCTGGCTTTCTTTTATTAGAACAAAGATTATCTAAAAGCAGCCAGTGAAGTGTCCCATTTGATTTTTTAATTATCGCTGATGTTCTAGAGAATCAATAGTAGGAAAGTTGGTGCATAAGTTCCCTGCTTGATGTAACATTTGTTTAAACTATTCCTATTATATCAGTTCCTTTATTTCTTTTTATATTCGGTTGTGGTTTCATGTGAATAGTTGCTTAGTTGTCTTCATCATATGCTTGGTTGTTTGTTCATGAGATACTGCTTTTTGTGGTGCTTTTTCTTTTGATCCGTACAAATCCTTGAATTATTTTATTATAAAACATATCTGAAGGCGGTGGTGGGGCAATTTACAGGGAATCCAGGAATAACATTGCCATGGAGCATACTATGTTATGGACTTGTGGAATTGCCATCTCTTACCTTTTTGGGTTTGTGGGCATCTCTTATTTCCTATCATGTTTGCTGGGTCCTAGTGGAAGCTCATGGTGGTGATTGTGGTTGGGTTAGGACACCTATCTATTCTACCATGATCTGGATCAGTAGCTTTTTGGATTTGTTGTGTGCAATCCATCAAAAGGAAGTACTATAATGAGCATTGATTCAATTCTTGGCTTTTGATTCCATAAGTTCTCTGAGATTTTAGGTCAATATTTTTGTAAATTGAATATTACCATGTTCACCAGCAAATTTAAGTCACTTCTAAGGTTAAGGGTTTCTGATTCTTGTCTTCTTCTCTACAGTAGTCTATGCTGGACAACTGGAAAATTTTAATTGAGATATAATTGTAGAATATGGATTGTGTTGGATTATCTGTCTATAGTTCAGCACTCATAGGTGTGTGTGTATATATATATATATATATATCCTGATCAATGCAGCCTTGTTCTTCTGGTGGCAACTGTGGGTTCAGGGCATGTTATTTGTGTTGGATGGAACCTCAAATGTCATGAGATTCAAGAACTATTAAAGGTTTGGAGCTTGCAACAAGTGTGATTCCAAGTGCTGAAAGCCAATTGTGAACATATAGTTCCTGTCACTAGTAGCAATCCTGTAGACAAACTATTCCTCTTGCCAGGTTACATCAATGGATGCTACATGCACCTCTTGCCAGCTTACATCAATGGATGCTACATGCACCTCTTGCCAGGTTACATCAATGGATGCTATATGCAGTGGGGCATATAAAAGCAATGAATTACTATATAAATTGGTAGAAGTATCATGACAACCCAACAATAGAATCTCATAATCCATGTTGGTCTATCCCTTTAATGTATGATTCAAGAAGGCACAAAGACAACTGATTCAGAAAGTGTCACAATATAGGAGACAAAAATTAAGAAAATTGAGTTATTATTTCCTCAGAATATGTTATAATGTAAAATATACAACTCCTGTGTAGGTACAACTCAATGGGTAAACCAGCTACACCTGACATAAGAAAACCAGTAGCTAAAGAGAGAAAAGAACAAAACTACAAGTAGCCCACCAAAAACACTCAAGCAGGGTGCACAATCTTCAGGAAGCCTTCGTTTTTTCTGGCCAAAACAACTGCAGAAAGGTGTCTGCATGAGCCAAAATGAGAGCAAAATTTAATCCGGAGTGATGACAAGAGCAAGGGAAGGGATATGGTTCATGCCAACCTTGTCAATTATCTGGCATTTTGTAGAATAAGGCACTCTCAGGAGAATAAACCTCATGGCACAAGCATTCAGGCCAAAGTTTAGGAAGAAGAAACAAAGTAGTCACGAATAGTTCTCCTTTTAATAGAGGAAGGAGGGTTGAGGACAGAAGATGGGCTACTCAAAGCAGCTTCTGGGCTTTGCTGCATCTCCTTCTCTTCCCTAAGAATTGAGTTATAACTTCTCTTTCCAGACTTGGGCGTACTGAACTCAAGCATTTTGCTTCCATCAGGAGAGGATGGTTCCACTGATGCTCCTGTCAAAGCTTGGAAAGTGTCATCCATGGAAATCGAACATGCTGGAGGATCATCCAAGATTCGTTTTCTGCACTCGGTAACAACAGCAGTTATCCTTTTTCTAATTGCTGTTGGCGATCTTGCACTTATGCGACCACCCTTCTTCATGTTCCAGACACGAACCTGTTAAATGAGATACAGTTGATAGTGAAGATGAAACAATAGAATATGAAGTCTAGCTTCATATCGAGTAAATCTGTGAACCACATAAACCAATATGCTGAATTAGAATCTGTTATCTGATCCTAACTATCGTCCAAAGAGCAACTTCTGAGCTGTAGATTACTAGTGTTGATTCAGGAAAAACCAAATGTTGTCTAGGTAAATTTACCATGAAGTCATCTGAAGAAGTTGCTAACTTTCCCACTTCTGATGAGCACCTGAAAAGCATGAAGTTTTAGGTTGATATTAAGATCTAGAGAAAATGGATTAACCATCTCTTTCTTATGTTTTCACATACCAATCGACTGCAGTGACTTCTCCGTCATGGCCCTTCAAAATGGCCGGTGCACTTTCAGGTTTCTTCACCTGGTAAATTAACACAAAAATAATGTAATAATATTGGAGGAAAGAAGTCATGCCAAAGTGAAAAGACCTTTTGATTGAATAGAAGGGAAAAATTATGTACCTGCCATATGTAGGCATTACCATCACTAGAACCCCCAAGAATATGAGCTCCATCAGGGCTGATTGCAGACTTCAATCACACAAGAAAAATTAGAAATCAGTGCTTTGATAGTAATTTAAAGGTTAAATAAATTCAATTTCTCTGCCGAGATATATGTTTTATAAAAAGGATAATTGCTGCAGACTAAAAGGGCATCTTACTTGCCTTCACAAAAAATGACTCGATTTTACTCCCAGGGAAAACCTTTACGGGTCCTTTGTCCGGTTGAAGCACCTCATACAAATAGATCCTGATAGACATGAAGCAAGCTAATTAGAAGTGATTTGGGTTACTAAAATTTAATGGAGCAAACTGATGTTAACTTCAAATACCTGCTATCCATGCAAGAAGCTACGAGAGAGGCGCCATGTGAATCTTGAGATAGCCATGTAATTCCATGTTGAATTGTTTCCTTTAGTCACAGGGAACAAAGATACCAATCAATTTCAGAGACACAAGTAATAAAAAGCTTTATACATGCAACGAAGAACACATGTTGAAGTTGTTTTTCCTTTTTTTTGTGGGGGGTGGGGGTGGTAACAGAGAAGGCAATCCTCCATACACAAATAAAAGTTACTTGTCTTTATATAAAGTCTCGTGAACAAGCTATATGGATGATGTTTCCGACTTTCTATATAGCGGCATCATCATCTTTAAATCTTCCTGCTTTCATCTATTTCTCATTTATTTTTCAGATGGAAAATCTAGATTCACCTTTCTGACAAATGGCTCGACATGAGGGCAAGCTTGAGTAACAGATGATTTTAGGTTGCGTGTATCCCAGAACTTCACCACACTGGAACAAAAGAGAACAATCAGGGGAAAGGAAAGAGAGTGAGGAGTATTAAGTAAATGGAATGAACCATGTGAAAAATCCTATTTTGGTTTCACTTGTCTATAATCAAAAGCATCAGTCTTCAGTGACACTGACAATAGTATCTGAAAGTTGTCAAAGATCTTTTTTGAACCTGTCAACTGCTCCAGCAGTGGCAATGGAGATCTCATCCTTGAGATAGAGAACTGATGTGATGCTCATAGAAGCAGCCTGTGAACATGAAACAGAAATCAAGAAACCAGGATAAGAGAAAAGATCAACCAAATGAATCACTAAAAGGTAATGGACAGGAACAAACTTTTCCTTGCCGCCTCCTTTTTCTCGGGGCAGAGGCGTGTGCTTCTTTGACAACAGCAGTAGACCTAAACATTTTTACCCCAGAGATATCATTGACCGTATAGGATCTAGAGCATAAATGATGTGTACAAAAGGATGCAACTAGATTATATGAATTTCATACAACAAGCATGCTTCCCCAAAGCGATTTGTGGAACTAGAGTTGCATCTCAGATCCCAAAGAGCAAAAGATCCATCTCTTGAACCAGAGACAACAATATCTGACAAGAAAGGAATGGAATTTTGACTGTCAAGGCTCAAAGTTCTTTATCAATGACTATAAGCAAAAAATCCAAACTGTAATCAAGTAGAACAAAAAAGAGGCTAATATCTGACAAGAAAGGAATGACATTTTGACTGTCAAGGCTCAAAATTCTTTATGAATGACTATAGACAAAAAAAATCCAAACTGTAATCAAGTAGAAAAAATCTACCAGGATTTGATGAATGAGGGCAAACTGTTTTAACACTTCCTGTGTGCCCTGCCAGGATCCCAATGCATTTCCTCTTTTCAGCATTCCATATCTTGACCTAGTGCAATAACATCAAATTTTCACCAGAATTCAAGGATGGATTCAGTAGGTGCTGCTTAAAGACTCTAATCTTATAATAACTACAAGGACAATAATGCAAGAGGATATGCTTCTTCGCTTACATATTGATCGCCAGAAGCTGTTAGAATTTGATTGTCATCCTGCAGAACATAAACGAAAAACATTATGTAAATCACTTGGGCTATCTCTGGTCCATTTGTTCCAAGAGGAATGCAATTTTTCAGATTTCTTAAGAGACCAATTTTGTGAAACTACTTGAGCCAACTTTAATTGATATATTCATTCCAAAATGAACAAAAGCTTTCAATTGTCTTGGAGAATGTACCTTTATCCAGCATATGTCAAATATTGCATTGCTGTGAGCAACCCACTCACAAACCCTAGATTCAGCTGCAACAACGAATAGCAAACGGATTACCGCATCTAAAAGAGGCAAACTTGATCAAAACCCTAGATCCCGAGTTTGCACCGATTTCTTTCGGTCCTCTGACTAAAAAAGTGCTCTCTTTTCCAATGTAGAAAAGATTTAGGAAAATGGAATTACACAAACCCGTCCTCTCCCGGCATGAAGCATAGGAAGGAAGGCTGCGACGTGTGTCGAAGAAGCTGACATACCCATCCTCATCCGTCACCGCAAGAATGTGAGAATTCCTACTCGTCTGTCTTCATCGGAAGAGAAATTTTTGAAGGGATATAAGCCATTGTTCATACTGGACGGAGGATTTAAGGTGGTAAACAAGATCGGAGGCCAAAGGAGGCACAAGATTGAGAAGGAAGTTGGAACCTTGCAGAAAGAGACGGCAGTGGGAGGCGTGGTGGCGCCACTGTGCTCGACGGACAGCACTCCAGTGCCAAAGCCACCGGGCTCCGACGAGAGATCACCAAGATAAGGCCTTTTGCGTACTACAAGAGGGCAGGGCGATCCGCGATCAGAAGCTGCGACTGGATTCAAGGTTGCGGAACGGAAGGAATCGCCAAAAGGCGAGGGACGAAGGTGTACCTCTGAAGCCATTGAGCTCTCTGCTCATCAGATCGCCGAAGAAGGACGAAGGAAGACATCGGTTCTCCATCGCCCGTGTGAGAGAGAGAGAGAGAGATTGGGATTATGGTGCCACCCAATGACATAAGCATGAAAAATGGCGGGTGGAGTGAGGTTTTCGCGGGAATGGCGATTCGCGTTCTGGAAGCGGGAATTAGAATTGGAAACGGGCGGCTTAGAAGAAAGCCCGGCCCATTTAACTTACATGGATTTAGCCCAAATACAGACGAATGTGAAGCCCATCTGTAGCATAAGGAATTCAGAGAAATGTGTATGATTAATGCTTTTTTTTTTGTTTCGTGTTATGTTTGATTTTTAGGTAATTTTAACATTTTAAATTTAATATCATCTGTAGCATAATTAGGTATTGCAGTAACTAATGGCATGTCAAAGATACAATATATGACATGTCAAATTATGCATCATGCCTCGTTCAAATAACACGTAGTTTCCCCCTTGGAAAAAAAACTCCATAAGATAATCCAACTGATGCTTCCAATTCGGATCGAGTTGTCTTATTCAGGAACACTCTACTCATTTGATGGTGATTTTGAGAATTAATAATCGCTATGAAAGTTGCTTGACATATAAAGACAGAAGTTTCAATCACAAATGGTTGACCCCAATCAAACCAAGCCAAAAGTGACTCCATACCTAATTTTTTTATTATTTTATTCTTACTTTCATTTTGCCATTACTTTCTAACGTCAAGTACACATGTACTTTTTATTTGATACGAAAATAATAACATGGGTAGCATCTATTCGTCATGTAGTCATGCTTGATCTACATCGATTATATCATATTATATGGACAATACTCTAATATTAATATAGTCGATACATCAACACTATGTTGATAATATTTTGAAGTAGTACGGTTGGTTGACATTATGTTATCTCTTGAACGTTATCAATCATTGTTGCATATTCCCTAAATTTGATGCGGCACAATTCTATTAATACTAAGAGAAAATACGTAATTATTCCCGATATCAATGTGCATCTTTGAGTATAATAATCCTGAAAATGCACTATGAAATCTCTCACTAAATTCATTCCTCAATATACTACAGTTCATAAACTCTATGCATTTGATTGTAGAAGTTTTTAGCATTTAGCTTTACTTCTTGAATCGATTAAAATATTGGAAAGGGTTTGTTGAGTATAACCTTGAACCAATATCGATTAGAGACAAACGTGAAATAAGAATTCGATGCATAGAGATACTTTTTATATAAAAGACATAAATCCTAAAAATTAGGAAATGAGTTTTCAAGGTTATTTTTAATGATGAAAAGAACAATAGAAGTTTTGACAATTGTAATTCATTTCCAAGGTTTTTTTTTTTAAGAATAAGGGTTGAATTACATTGATTTTGAATAAAAATTAAAAATATATAATAAAATTTAAAAAAAAAAAGTGTAACTCAAATCTTAAAAAAAAAAAAGTCTTCAAAAATTTTTCTCAAAATTTTAAAGAATCATTTCTGATGATATGCAAGTGATTTTTAGTTCAAAGTGTTCTTTAATTCACCTTAGATTGGATAAAATTGAAAGAATAATATAAAACCATTTAATGGTTGAAATAAGTGAACATATACATTACAAAGACTTAAAAATAGAAAAAACTAGTTATTTATTTTTTTAGTCATTCACAATATTTTCTGAAAATATAATATTTTTTTAAATTGATATTTAACATTTATTGATTTATTTAATACTTTATTACTATTTATTTTAATTTTATTTTAAATACATATATATTAGTATTATTTGATTTTTCTTGTGAGACCGATCTAATGTTAACTTAACCTATCCAATACCACGTTTCATTTAGATTTGATTCGAAAGGGAGGAAAGAAAGAAAGAAAACAAAAACAAAAAACAAAAAACAAAAAAGTAGAATTCTCTTTGCGGGGAAACAAGAGATTCAAAAACAGGACTATTTTAGGAAAGTTTTTGGTCGTAATAACTAAGTATCATATAATGCTGTGAGGCATCTATTCGTAGTCTTCAACTGTAGTGGCGTGTGGGCATGTCGCGACTTACGAAGCTTTCGCAGGGGTATAACTTGGAACGAGCCTTCCTGGAAAAAGAAGGCGAGGTATACCTGAGTCCGGTTTCATTCCCTCTGCCTCCCCCAGAAGACAGCTTCCTTTTCTTGCAGCGCCTCGCAGGACCCCTGCTCCTCGGGAGAAGCTGTCGCTACAAAGAGCCAAAGAAACAACGAAGTTTCTCTATCCAGAAGGAATACGAGACTTGGCATACCGCGGTTTTCTGAAGGTCTACCGGAAAACACTTGTTTTTGTTTGCTCCAGATTAACTGTTGATCCCTTTCTCGTTCCCACACTACCTTAGTTGCATGCGTAGATCCGATTGAGCTCCCGCGCATGAGCTATTCTGTCTTACAACTGCTTGTTTCTCGTTAAACGATGGCATCTTTGTGTTGTGTGATAGGCTGCCACCTCCTCGATGACTTCTCCTCTCCGAGTTTTATTCAAGGATGCGAGGTGCGGATTTCACTTCTCTTTGGGAACTTCCGCCAATATTTCAACTCGTTGGATTCCGTCTTATCGGTTGTCTGTTCTTGGTTATCAATGCACGACACAGGCATGCTTTTAGATTGGATGAGCTTGGGATGGAGATCATGAGGATCGCCTTCCCTGCGGCACTTGCGCTGATGGCTGATCCCGTTGCATCTCTAATCGATACTGCCTTCATTGGTCACATTGGTCAGTTCGAGCTTTCGTTTATGTCATTTTATCGAGATTTGCCCCGTCTTTTCATGCTGTAATTTTAGTGTGTATTTGTCATAGCGCGGAAATCTACAGGTCAGTGTTTTTCTTGTCAATCATTTCTTTCTTCTTTGCTTCGTTATCCGTTGTGTCATTTTCTTTCTTCTTCTCTACTTCGATAGCAGCGGCATCGGATGGCTATATGATTTCTGAGAAAACAATAACAAAAATAGTCCTAAAACAGATGTAAAAGAGAAATTAAAGAGTAAAGGAAGATGATAAATTGTACCTTTGTTTAAAGGTTTTGGAAGGCTTGTAAGAATGTGTCGCAAGTATGTATCTGTGGGGAGAGGAGGGAAGCCAGAAGAAAGTAGACAAAAAGAGAAACGCGGGCTAGAAAAGAAAAAAGTGTGGACTAAAAAATATGTGTATCTTTCCTTCAATTGCTTAATAATCGTGGTAAGATATTTATGTGCATCTTTTCTTGTCATTCCTTAATAATTGTGGTCTATATATATATAGAAAATTTATGCTTATAGATTGTCCTCTCACTATTTATGCTTGTCGAGATTCCACATAACGTCAACCCCTATAAGCACTGGATGCCTCTTGAGCCATAAGTGGATGGGAGATTTAATACCCTTAGTTTACTCAAGTTTACAAAATGAGTAAAAGTTAAGTTGGTTGCATCCATGAGAAACAAGTTATGAACTCTATGTTGAGGGACCTTATCACCCACTTTGGGATCTTGTGATCAATAATCATTAACAGCATGACTTGGTTCAATAATACCAAAGAGCTTTTCCAATTCTATTGAATTTAGCTAAAGTTTAGTTTAGTCGCTCACCCGCAGATTAGTGGCATGGCTGAGGTGACTAACTAGACTATCCTCGAGGGACTACAAAAATGGGTTATCAATACCAATGACACTTGGATAGGTGAGCTACTTAGCATCTTACAAGCTTCCCAAACAATTATCAAGACCAGTTCGAGAGAGTCTTCATTTAGCCTAGCTTTCGATACTCAGGTTATTTTGCCACTCGAGATCATTTTTTCGATACCTTAGATCAATAATTTCGATGAGGGAGTTTTCGAGGAGGGACTTCAAGTCGACCTCAACTTGATTAGCGAGGTCATAGTTGAGGCATACCTAAGGATGCTATGGTATAAGAAGGCAATATTCAGACTCTACAAGAGGTGCTCACCCTTGAAATTGGAGTTAACAACCTAGTCCTTCGTAAGGCCAAGGTCAAGGTCAATGACTCGACTCATTCCTAAGAAAAGCTAAAACATATTAACTCAGTATAGCTAGAGGAATCGTACTCTCCCAGACATGACATATTACAAATCTAAGACACGTCTCAATGATAAGGTGTCACGCAACTTAATATCGAGCGAGCAAGCATCTTGGATATCGAGTGTAATAAAAAAAATCGACACAAGCTATAAAAATAAAGTTTCATTAATCAAAGCAAAGATTATACTATACTATACTCCCAAAATGAGACATCGATATATAAAAAACAAATAAAACTAAAAGTCCAGATTTGACAGTTAGGTCTATGGACTCAAACTGCAAATTGATCAAGATTGTTACTGAAGGAGTCCTTGAGTGCTATTGGTCTTTCTCATATATATATATATATATATATATAAGAGTTATCTTGTTCTTCAGTTTGTGCTATATGGTTCTTCTGACCTCTTAGTTATAAGAGAATTGGTTGGTTGATACCGTCCAAAATATCTCCATAGTCTCAACTGATGATCAGTGCAAACAACATTCGTGCTGTTTGTTGTGTTTTTATGATGTAATTATGTCCATGAGGATATTAAGTATTAAGTTCACATTTTCGTCAATCTTTTTACAGGTCCAGTGGAGCTTGCAGCTGTAGGCGTGTCTATTGCAGTGTTCAATCAAGTATCAAGAATTGCTATCTTTCCTATTGTCAGTGTCACGACATCCTTTGTTGCCGAGGAAGATGCCACCAGCAAATTAGCAAGTGGAGATCCTGAAAGTGGAGAATGCCAGGGGTCTTTTTCTGAGGATAGTGAAATGAAAGAATTGATGCCTTGCACTGGTAGGTGATGTCAAGTGTTTGGTCTCTTCCGAATCATGCATCTTCTTGCTAAAATAGAACACAAAGTTTCACAAAATTTACATCAGAGTTACCTCAGGGTTGATGCATTGCCTACAATTTTATTTTCAGATCATGATGAACATGAGTATACCTCGCCTTTCTCATCGAAGAAATCTGCTACTATGACTGAAGTTGAGAACCGCAAACGGATCCCATCAGCCTCTTCAGCGTTATTAGTTGGTAGTGTACTTGGTGTTCTCGAAACACTATTTCTGAATTTTGGAGCAAAACCCATTTTGATCTTTATGGGTGTGAAACATGTAAGCATCTGTTCTTCTCTTCTGTAAGTTGCCTGCTTCATGACCAAGTTATCATCTTTTCATTGATTGGTTTTAAGATGGCAAAAAATCATGATAGCTTTGAAAAGTTTGCCAGCAAGTTAGTATTTATTCTCATCAAGCTGGAATGTTGTCTAAATGTGAATAGTGGTTATTAATATAATTTTGGGCAACAAACTTCTATTTTTACATGATAATGGTGTATTGGTGTGACCACGAAATGTAGTAACAAAAACTATTTTGATTAACATAGTTAGAAATGGTCACTTAAAAATAAGGCTATGTACATTGACTCTCCTTAGATCCTGTATTGATGGGAGTTTCGTCCACTAGATATGTCCTTTTTAATTGTAATAGTCGAAAAGATTATTTAGATTTGTTCGGCTGCACCCACATTCCTTTTTTTTCTCTTTTTTGCTATCGTGCATGTATGGGGTTTCTGTGGCAATGAATCTATGTAATGGCTAAATCTAAGATAACTGGTTTACATATCCGACAGTTTAACACATATATATTGTTCTGTAGTGGAAATTGCTATCATGTTTTGAGGCAATACATTTTAATATCAATTAAACTTAATATAACTCCAGAATTGAATTGTTTAACAAGTCATTTAGATTCTTCTGATGAGAAAACCAAAAGAAATGACCGATCAAATAATTTAACTTCACTTTGACTTTAATTAATCAAATATGTCTCATAATATTTATGCCAAACTATCAAGGCAGGAAAGAGTATCTCTGAGCATCCATGTTATAGGACCATTCCAAATTACTCCATTTTTGTGCATGGAACACTTATAGATGAACTATAGTTATAAATGCTGAGACAAGTGAATCTTCAACTGAATATTTTATTATTTCTTTGGATTGATAGAATTTGTGCCCCATCATTTTTGAGAGAATATTATATATATGTATTATATGCACACACACTAAAAATTCACTGATTCTGAGCAATTGCCTAAAAAATGAATGCTTAAAGGGAAAACATGAAGCTCACAGTTGTTTCCAACATATTAATTGTGAATGCAGTTATTGTACTGATCTAGAATGTGCTTATTGTATACTCGGACATAAAGGACTGGAAAAGTTTATCCTTGTGAATGAGCAGTGACATCTGATGGAAAAATCATATATCATGAAGATTCCCATAATGTAGTTGGAAACAACAGTTGAGTTGGAGTTATCCATGGTTGAGGATCTGAAAAAGTCTGATAAATACTGTTTTTTTAGTTCTAATTTCTAACATCATATATCTCGAGATATGTAGTTTTTATGCATGACTTAGCGATACTCCATTGTAAACTTTATTGTTATTATTATTATTATTATTATTTTTTATATGCTGATGCTTTTGCATTTCATTCCAAATTTATTTGATAAGAACTGTGCCTATACAATAACAGTGCATATTTGTTGATAGGATTCCCCTATGTTGACACCAGCATGTGAGTACTTAACATTGCGAGCTCTTGGCGCCCCTGCTGTTCTATTGTCTTTGGCTATGCAAGGAGTTTTTCGTGGAATCAGGGACACAGAAACTCCTCTTTATGCCACTGGTATGACAACTTATAAGTAGGTTTGGTTGTGCTATAACTTATAAATGTCTTGCTCATGGTTTATATGGATGTTCATTGATGCTTAAAATAAATTCTCACCACTGTGAAACCTGTCTCACAATTGATCATAACCAATTTGGTTTAATTTTTCATGATCAATGGATATCACAAGCATAAGGCAAGCCCATAAAAAAATTATTCATGCATTCATAATCGTCATTTGGTGTGAAGCAGCTGATTTTTGGCATTCATTATTTCGGCAAACTACTAGTTCTGTAAAGAAATATATTGCTGGAACTTCTCAGCTGTTAGTTTTGTTTCTTGAATGATCAACTAATATTGTGTCTTCTTGACTGACCCAGTGGCTGGAGATGCAGCCAATATAATCTTGGATCCAATATTCATATTCTTGTTTCGATTAGGCGTTAGTGGTGCCGCGATTGCTCATGTTATTTCTCAGTAAGTACCATCTTGTTGCTCTCTACACTTGTGCAGAGTGCTGGTAAGTTTACCCAGCTTCCTCTGTCATCGAAGAAACATTAATATCATCCTATTTTTTGTTTCATTATATTCTGCAGATACTTAATTGCATTAATGCTTTTGTGGAAATTACTGAGACAAGTCGATGTCTTGCCTCCCAGTATCAAAAATCTGCAGTTTGGTCGGTTCCTAAGAGATGGTAAGTAGTTCCTTGAATAAACATATCATGTTTAATATCATACTTTTCTTTATGTATCCTGTACATTTGTCAACTGTATCTCTAAAGCCACTGCTGGCTATCTTGTGTCTTTTTTCTGCTACACAAAAGAATTCAGTGGCACTTGTTTCAGTAGAAAGCCGCATTTAAGGAATAGTGAGATCATGCATTTCACATACATGAATAAGTATCTTTTCTGCCATGATTTGGTTGCTTCTTAGAATTTGACTTATACTTTTCCTAGGCAGGATGTCAAATAAGTAATTAGCATGATATGCTGCTTCCTTTAGGATGTTGAAGGCTCCGAGATGTCAATTTATTCCTGTCCATACTATTGATGTTTTCAGAGCTACAAGATATTAATCTGTGCTGGTTTCAGGTCTTCTATTGCTTGTACGGGTTATCGCTGTGACGTTCTGTGTGACACTAGCAGCATCGATGGCTGCACGGCAGGGATCAGTCCCTATGGCTGCATTCCAGATATGTTTGCAGATTTGGTTGGCGACTTCTCTTCTTGCTGATGGCCTGGCGGTTGCTGGACAGGTTAGGAAGCAATTGCTTGCTTGATTGTTTTATGGCAATTCCTTATGTCAGATGGCAATAAGAAAAGAGTTGGTAATCCTACTTCTATCTACTTTCATGTAACGTTATTGATAACAATTATGATAGTGTTTTCATGAAAAACACATCACAATATATTATTGACTGGTAGCAAGTCAGATCACATTGATGTTATAGGATCATTATGGTACCTTCTATTTAATCCTTGGCATGGTCATTAACCCCAACACTCATTTTCGTTTCTGCAAACACAGTATGTCCACTGTCACTGATATGCATCGCACCTTTTGTTTCCTCTTCATAAAGATAATGCATGTTTCAGATGCACCAATGACATGTTCCTCTTGAGCCAAAACACAAACTAGAAGAACCAGTTGATGTTATGTCCTATCAGATCTTTTCACCATATTTTCTGGAAGAACACACCGATAAAGCAACTTGTGGATCATTGCATAACTTAACATGAAGGCTTCCGGTCTGCTATCTAAGATAACTTGGCAGATTACTGCACCAATTATGTACCTTCAAAGCATATTAGTCCCTCGTGCTCATTCCAGTATAAGTTGAGATATGTCAGGAACTTTGCAGGCAATACTTGCGAGTGCATTTGCCAGAAAGGATCATTCTGGGGCAACATCTGCTGCTTCACGTGTTCTTCAAGTATATTTTCCAATCAATAATTAAATTGATCTCTGCCCTTGACGTTCATCAGTTACAATTTCATAGCAACAAAAAGACTAACCTGCACTAGCTTTGCAGTGGGGTATGGTTCTGGGGCTGTTGCTGTGCTTCATACTCGGAATTGGCTTACAGTTTGCATCGAAATTGTTCACCAAGGATGCCAAAGTGCTACAACTTGTTCACGTTGGAATCCCGGTATTTAAGTTGCTCATTCTTGGAAGACATAGAAGAGTGTTCTTTTGCATTAGTTGTTGGTGCACTTGTTCTGAAGCTAACTACTCTGCTCCACCAAAAACAATAGTTACGAAAGAACTTCTTGATTCCATTCTCTACTTAATTCATGTTTTTCTCTGTTCAGTTTGTGGCGCTTACTCAACCGATGAATGCCTTAGCCTTTGTATTCGACGGCATCAACTATGGAGCATCAGATTTTGCATACGCTGCGTATTCCATGGTATTTCAAATAGAATGATGATATTGGAAAACAGATAAATTTGCACTGTACTTGTCAATTTTCGAGTCCAACAAGATCTCATTATAAAACATCTCAGGTCCTGGTGGCAATAGTCAGCATTGTATTTTTGATCATCCTATCCTCTAGTCATGGTTTCGTCGGTATCTGGATAGCTCTAACGATCTACATGAGTTTGCGGATGTTGGCAGGTTTCTGGAGGTAATTCTTAGACGCTTTATGAATTTATTGGTCATGCTTTGACATGTTAGATCTCTGTATAAATTTGTATTATCAATCAGATAATCTCCACCTATATGTGCTCTGCAGTGCTGCATAAGCTATCTTAATTCTGCAACTTGAGTCAACGGCTGCATCATGTTAGCATACTAAGCATGATAATTAACTTCATGATGGTCTTATTTGGTTCATCATTGAACTTGAGCAGGAATAAGTTATGCTTTTATACTGCTTAGTAAATTACTGCTGCAATGTTGGAGGAATGTTCATATCTGAACTTGCTTAGTCTCACCACAGGCATGTTAGAGAAATTTTCTCACACTTGAAAATGAAATCTTGCTTCATTTCAAGGAAATTTAGCAAAAAGGAGAAGTCAAGTGGCCACCTTCTTCAATCTTGACAATGTTGAAGGTAAGGCAGGAAAAATCCATATTCTCTGAAGGAAACATGAAAACAACACCTTTTTACATGGTAGGACTAGTAAAAGAGATATACTTCAAGTTTTGTATGTATTACCAGTTCTGGAGAAAAAATATGAAGTCCAATATGTTTCCAAATGCCATGCAGTTTTCTTTATCAATCTATCTTACATAGTAAAAGAGATCTACTTCAAGTTTTGTATGTATTACCAGTTCTGGAGATAAAAATATGAAGTCCAACATGTTTCCAAATGCCATGCAGTTATCTACCAGATATAATATTGCACATTTGCACAGTTTTCCTTAGGTCTAACTTCAGATGATGAGCTCTGATGTTATAGCTTTCAGCATCAACCATTGCATGGTGCATGGCATGCTTAGATTTGTCCAGTGTTCTAATAAGATTCTTCAATTTCTACAGAATAGGGACAGGTACAGGACCATGGACCTTCCTTTGGAGTTGATCAGGCTTTCAATTCCTTTTTCTCTTGACAAAAGAGGGTGGAACACTGATTCAACAATTTAAGGTGCAATGTTTTTGTTGATCAAAGGGAAATACTACTCGAATGGAGCTCTCATTACTCAAGTAGCAATTCCTTTTGTTTACCTTACATTGCACATGGACTGACGTTGTGCCCCCCAAAAAATTGTAGCTCAGATCAAGATAGCTTACTCTTTTTTGTATAATTAATGAGTTGTATTATAGATCTGTAATGTACCAAATAATGAGACCTGAAATTCCAGCTATTTCACTATATTGATAGTTTGAGTTCAGAACACCCCTCTGAAAAGTAGACACAGAAAACAGAGAAAAAGAACTTGATCTCAGGTATCATTTAGATCACATGCACCTAATTAATTACACTTGTAAGTTCACATGTTTATTCTGCTACAGGCTGAATGCAATTCTTTACCCTATATAATTAAATGAATCAAAGGACTTAACAGAAACATGGACAGTGACCATAGTAGTCTCTTTGGAAAGCTCCATCAGAGCTACTTTACCAGATAAGTGCAAGGCTTTAAGAACCAAAACAAATCAGCTGAACTCCCTTCTTCAGTATCAGTATCAGCAGCAGCAGCAGCTCTGTTGCAATCTTCACCCTTTACAGGTAATATTGCTGTCTTCTCCTCTTTGTCTTGCTCCATCTCCTGCTGGATCACCTTCTGCTGCTCAATCATTTCCAAAAGGTAATATTACTTACTCTTGCCATTGTGAAAATTAGAGGCCCAAGAATATCTACATGTAGTTTACACCATACAGTTCACCACATGCAGCAACCTGAGGTGGCAGAAGTATCATTCTATAGATCATGTTCTTCAAATTCTGTGCTTACTTGTCTGCCCTCAGTGTTAACCTTTAGTAGATGGTTACAGAGGTTGTGACACTTACCAGAGTTGCTGATTTCGGAGGCTTGTTGAGAGGGGATCTGCCTGTGGCAGTGGCCTTTGGATTCCTTGTACTGCGAATCGACGGTGAAGTGAACCGCTGCGGCGTTGGAGGATAAGCTCTTACTTCTTTGAGTGCTGTTGATTTCTCGATCTCAATCCTCACAGCCATTTTGCTGCTTTTCTTCACTGATGCATCGTCTTTCCTGCAGACAATCCTATGAGAAGAAGAGAACAGAAAAAAAGCAAATTTTATTTGGAAGATGAGCTCAACACTTGAAAATTACTTTGGAGTCAGTAGCTTCGTATCCTCTGCTTCGGGAACGATGTCGGCAACCTTCTTGACCTCCTTCTTGGTCTCTTCTGCTGGAGTCCTCCCGCGTCCGATCGCCATCTTCTTGATCTCGTGGTAGAACTCGGAGATCTGATTCAAGATATCCTTCCCGGAGAAAAGATTGCTGGCAGACAATGTGCTCTTCAGCCGGGGTTGGGCCTTCTTTTGCTTGGGTTCCTCCCTCTGCTCCTCGACCTTCTTCTCGGCGCTCGACTTGATCATCTCTTTCGCAGTGTTACACCTCTTCGGAGCACCGAGCGGGCGGCTTGGACGTTGCAGTGTCGACTGATTCGGGTCTTGGTTTTCAAGATCCTCTCTGAACTTCTTTGAAGCGGCGGCTTTTGGCTTGTGAGGAGATACCGGCAGCAATGGAGCAGCGATCCCTGCTCTTCTCTTCAGGTTGTTCTCGTCTCTAGAAGACCGAACCAATCAAACGAAACAGAAAACAAGCCGCTTTCACTCCAACATCATCGGAAGCAATCAAAAACAAAGAATTCCACAGCAAGATCTGAGCTTTTGTTTAGATCAACATTTCATTACCTACGAGTGCCGTTCCTCTCACCGAGAGGCAGTCTCTCCGAGCTCGACCGCATCAGCTTCGCCTAGTTTCGTTCCAATCAACCGAACTTTAAGGAACAGTCATACCGAAACATCTAAAGAAAAGGAAAAAAGGAAGAATCGGAGGATTCGCTCGAACCTTGGGGCTAGGTGTCGCCAAAAGCTTGAAATCTTCGGCGGTTTTCGGGTGCTTGCAATCTGGAAACAAAGAAAGAAAGAATGGAAATGTTCAAGAAGCTCGAGTTCTTGAGCTACGGAGAGGGAAAGGGAAGCGGTTCCTTGCGATAGTAACTGACGTACCTGGTCTGCAGAACCAGGCGTCGTCGTCTACGGGTGACGCCTCGGGAGCGGCGAGATCGAGCCACTTGGGGGCGTTGATGTTCTCGTAGGCCTCGTCGCGGACGGACCTCGACTCGATGTTCTTCCAGTCGATGTTGGCCGGCTCCATCCCTCGCTGTTCGACGGCTGCAATGAAGCGTGCGTTGAGAGAGGAAGGAAGGAACCGCGTCCAACCTGAAAGGAACGGGGAAGAGAGAAGCAGGGGATGGAGAGGCACGAGAAAGAACTCTCAAAACAAGAGAGTCGTTAATAAGGAGGGCTTTTGGGTTGCCTTGGAACCCTATCGAGTCCGTCGGAGTGGAACGTTGCTGCCGGTGCGAAGTTTTCGACCGTTGGAGATCTGGGTCCACTCGCGGGTCCCACCGTGACTTTTATTTATTGATTACTTTGCGGATCATCTGGGATCGGGCGTGCTGATCCAAAGCAAAATAATACACATTAAGTAGATTAGTTGATCATTGGAATATGATATCGAAATTTTAATTCACATCGATGTCCATCAGATCGAACGATCTCTCTTCTTTTTTGTGATGTAGAAATCATTATCAATTGCAAGCGTTTAATTTCCTTTTAATTTTTGGTATAATTTACAAAAATAATTCTTAACAGTAACGGTTCGCTGCCGTTGGATGAGAATGCAGTCGACGGAACATCAAATTCCTCACACGAATCCTAAAGCCCAGACGCCACCTCTTTCCACGGTCGGCAAACCACGGGCGTCGAACGTGGCAGGCGGCGAGCCTTTGGTGGATGTGTCGGTCACGTGCTTCATGAGTCAAGCGGCCGCAATGGTGAAACTTCGACGTCGTCTCACGTGACAAACGTATGTATACACGATACAGCGAGGGACCGTACGCCGGTACAGAATTATCTCTTTATTGGAATTATGATTTAAGATTTAGTTGATGATTCATTGTCCTTTATATAACTCCCGCACTCGATGATATATATGCGTGCATAAGTATCATATACTCTTCATGACTGTTATTAATTATTTGCATCCGATAAATTTATTGGATATAAACCCCCGAGTGGGGTCCCACCGTTCTCCAACGGGCCAAATGGGTCGGCAGGCCGCAAATCACACGCCACCTGGCAAACAATTGAGAACCGTGTCTCGAATTGTTTTCATATATAATTCTCCGTATTTTTTTTTTCTTTCATTTCCTTTGTTTTTCTTTTTTTCTTTTTCCTTTTATTTTGAGGCATCCGGAACTTGGGGACGCGCGTTTATGTAGCGCACGGAGAGGGAGCGCCGAGGACCGTAAGCTGGCAAAGAAGTGGAAAGGGGGAAAAGAAGGCCCCAAATCCTATTCCTTTCAGTAGTTGCTGCTCCTCCTCTCGCTGGATCTCGGCCATGGCGGTCGCCGCGGCGCTAATGGTCGTCCCCTTCGGCCTCCTCTTCCTACTATCGGGGTTGATCGTGAACGTCGTTCAGGTACGCCGCCAGACGTGGCGAAGAATAGAGGGCATGGAGCGGCCCGGTTTTCTTTCTGTTTGTTGGGTTTATTGTTTGAGCCCGTGCGCGTTGGGGCTCCGGTGGAACTCTCTCGGATATGATGGATTCTCTGATTTGGTCGGTTCTTTTAGGTTTTAATGTTTCCTTCTCAACGATCATGATCCGAGTGGCTTATTCTTTTAAAATTTACATTTTTCTTCATTTTTAATCTTCTCGCCTTTTTTCTTTCCGATCTGCTTATTGCTGGTGGTGAGGTTTATATTTGTGTAGATTTCCTAAAGATTTGAACTTTGGGGTGTTCAAAATTTTCCGCAACCGTGCTCATTTTCCGATCCTTGTTTTTATCCCTGCAGGCTGTCTGTTTTATTACAATACGGCTTTTTTCCAAAAGTCTTTATAGGAGGATTAATAGAGTGCTGGCTGAGTTACTGTGGCTCCAGCTTGTTTGGCTTGTTGATTGGTGGGCTGGTGTTAAGGTAATCTTTAAGTGTTCTTAGATCCCATTGCATTTGTTGATTTTTTTGGCCGTTGTAGAGCTTGTTCAATGTCTGGTCTGCATGATGTATTGTGCTCCTATTGAATTTATTGTAGTTTTTAGGCTCCGATTGTCAGGGAGATTTGAAATTTCAGGATTTCCCCAATAGTCCCAAGTTGGGAACCAACTTTGATCCAATGTTGCATTTTACTGAAATCCTGTGTATCTTTGGAATCTCATAAGTTCCAAGTTATGGATAATGAGATATTAGAAGTTTCATTTGTACCTCTGGAACTTGAATCCAAAATTTCAGGCAGCTGACTGGAAACTAGAGCCAGTGGTGGCATTGTAAAGGTGTTCAGAGAGTCATAGTTAAGAGTGCTATATACACATGGTTTTGCCATCTCAAGCAAGATATTGACTGTTTCTACTTATAGAGGTAGCAGTAAAGAAGTGGATCTGGAATAGAGGAGACTTTCAAAAAGTTGTTTTGGTTAATCCATATTATATACTACAAAAAAATTGTTTAATAATTGTTTTTGAATATTAATGAATAGTGAACTTCATTTTTATCAGAATCACTCTACCTCTGATGATTTGGGCTTTTCTTCCTCCAGTCAATTGATTTGAGGAATAAAGTTGGTCAAGCTTTCAAAATCTATATCTGTGAAGATGTTAGGAATTCCTAGCATCACTCCCTTTTCAGGTAGTAAAAGGGAAATTTTCAATATTATGATTTTTTTCACACCTGTACTTTGTGGCCTTGTTATGTTGCTGAAATTGTGACAAGATGTAAGTCACCATACCATGCCAGCTTACTGACTGCGTGCTTGCTCCTCTTATATACTTGTAAATGTATGAATTTCAGGCTTCTTATCTTTGCTTTAATTGAGTTGCAACACAAAATGCTCTGGGTTATAGAACATTAACAACATAATTGTTTGTTGGCTATGAGTACTGCTGCGACAAGCTCCTATATCTTGAGTTTGTTTAGTGGAGTCATGGTGGATTTAATTTGTGCAAATTGTCATGTTAGTTTATAGTAGTAGTTATATTTATTATCTTAAAGACTCCTGCATGGAACTGATGAAATGTTTCCTAATGCATCTATCTTTTCTTTGTAAAAAAATATATATGTGCTCTATTTCATGGTTGCAGATTCAGGTATATGCCGATTCCAAGACATTTGAATCAATGGGTAAGGATTGAACTTAAAAATTCTAATTACAAATGCTTTTCTATGATCAATGTTGAGTGTTATAGATGTTTAACCTCAAAATATAAAGTCAGTTCTTGTCTTGAACTTATATGAGGGAAATACAGGTGAAGAGCATGCACTTGTGATTTCAAATCACAGAAGCGACATTGATTGGCTTGTTGGATGGATTTTAGCTCAGGTGCTTATACTTTTATTTTCATGGTAGACAGAAATGTACAGTGAACTCGTAGGGGTATGATATTTAAGGCCATCATGTTGCCTTTACTGGTTGCAATTTGCAATGGCTCATGCATGCGAGAAAGCAGTAGTCCATAGACTCATCTGTATCTTCTCCTTGTTCATGTGGTTATTTAATTGTCTACCTCAGCGTTCAGGTTGTCTTGGTAGTGCGTTAGCTGTGATGAAGAAGTCATCGAAGTTCCTTCCAGTGAGTATAATTATATATGCTTTATTCTGTTTTGTCTATCAATAAAACAATTCTGTTACGTCCTCTTTTATGTTCCGAGGCTGATCTTTGCTTTTATTCCTACCAACACATTCTGGTTGTGTTTAGCTACTTAATATTTGCAGGTTGAACATTCTTCATTATTTATCTATCCTAGATAGTTTTTACTAAGTCATTTTAGATTGCGTAACATCTGCTTGCTTTGCTATTCAATATTTATTTTCATATTATGCACCCTATGACAATCATGCTGCAAGGAAGTATGTTAAATTCAAGGTTTCAAATACCGGTTGGACCGGCACTTGTTGACTGGTATATACCGGTCTGATCAAGGATTAGTAGCAAACCATATAGGTCGGTACCAATTGGTATTCAAATTCTTTTATTTTTATTTTAGGAGATGCTAGACAGGTATAGATTGGTATATTGTCCAGAATTCTGGTACCTTACTGGTCCAACCAATTGCCAAAACTGTTATTGGAATGAGATTTAAATTCTTGGCTAAATTGTTGTTTTATTTTGATACTATATTTGCCATATTGTAAGATACATGCGGATTCATAGATATGACAGAAAGTTGATTCTAGCTTTGGCATTACAAGTTTGGAATAGTTATTCAAGTCATCATGGTGATGTACTTTTACCCTGTACATGGCTCACCTATGTCAATCCTAATATAATTATTCTGATTATTGGTCATGCGACTATTTTTCCAGGTTATTGGTTGGTCAATGTGGTTTGCTGAATATCTCTTCCTGGAAAGAAGCTGGGCCAAGGATGAGACCACATTGAAGGTATTATTCCCTTGCTGAATAGTGCAGACCTCTGCAAGCCAGTGCATGCTGTGCTGATGGGATTTTAATGCTATGCATGGCCAAATCTTCATGGTACCCACATGTGATTGTGGTCTTGTAATCTGAAGGCACCTATATTGATTGCTGGCCTGAATTCTTATATTCCACTGTAATTGAATCTGTGTTTCTAATTCTTTGTAATAATCATAAAACACAGTTGGGTCTGCAAAGATTAAAGGATTTTCCTAGACCGTTTTGGCTGGCACTTTTTGTTGAGGGGACACGCTTTACTCCAGCAAAACTTTTAGCGGCACAAGAATATGCAGCTTCACAGGGTCTGCCAACTCCAAGAAATGTTCTGATTCCACGTACTAAGGTTGAATTTTTTTGTTGACAGTAATGTTTGTTATGTAGGTAGCCTTATGTTAGACTAGTGTCATCACCTAATCAAAGTGGAGTAACAATCAAACACAATATTTTCTATGAGATTTCCACAATACAATGTTCTCATAAGAGCATTCTATATTTGAAGAATTTCTCTGACTTTGATGAATATGTATTGATGCCTTGAATCTGAATTTCAGGGTTTTGTTTCAGCTGTAAATATCATGCGGCCTTTTGTTCCTGCCATATACGATGTAACAGTGGCTATTCCAGCAGATCAACCTTCACCAACAATGCTCAGAATTCTGAAAGGGCAATCTTCAGTTGTAAGCAACTAAGCATTGGATTTTTTTTTTTTTGAATTGCTGTAATATTCTCTTAATTTATGTTTTTTATTTGCAAGTCTTGCTTATTATGTATTGTGTCTATTAGCAAAATCTTCCTATTGTTTGCTTTTATATATGCTTAAGGATAAAAATAAAGATTATAGATATTATGTAAGAGACACATATCTTTCATATATATGTGTGTGTGTGTGCAATTTTATGATTGATCTTGTCTGGTATGCATCATATTAGAACTATTTGGTATTTGGGGACACATCAATTTTTTAATACAAATTTGTGCCATCTGCATGTGGACTAGTTTGTAATGTCTTTAAAGTGCATGTTGTGTTTTACAAATGTCTGTTTGATCTCTTATGTGGTCACTGTTTGGAAAAGATTATGGAAGTTACTATATGATCATTTGAATGAGGATTTCAATTTCTTTCCCTGTAATTTTGACTTCCTCTTTTGGTCCCCAGAATCATGAGGCAGAAAATCATGTTATTGTTATATATTTCAACTTCAGCATACTGTGTGCCCTCATGGAAACAGGCTATCTAAATAAGGAGCTCTCTATTTAGTAAGATGGCATATATTGGCCCTCCCCATATCCCACATTAATAGGAATGTCGTGTACTAGGTACACCCTTTAGCATATTGTGTGGTCACTTTTTCTAAACCAACAGTTTAGAGTAGTATGGTAGTAAGCTAAAGAAGACTGACCTGATATAATATTATGAATTAAGGTTTTGTGTGGATTTATGCATTAATTTGATATATTTTTTCTATTGTGCCACCAGTTTGGTGCAATAAGTTGTTTTATTATGTTTTTATATGCACTTTCTCAGTTTGACTCTGATTTTTAGTGAAATATCAAGTGTTGAAAGTGAGTAATAAACCAGAGAATACAGCAAGTGTCGTTTTAGTTTTAAAGTGGCGAGTATCCTGTCAAGTATTTGAGATCTTTATTCCGAGTAGGATTTGCTTTGCAATGAGGATTGACTAGCTTCTGGATATTTTAATTTAAATGAACCCTTAATAATGACATCATGAAATTGATTCTATATTAAGTTTTGCAACAAGCCAAAATTTCATCAGGCACTCTTGCTATAAATTTTTTTGCACTTCTCTAAATCCATATCATTTAGTTACTGCAGATTTTCATCTTTAGTTAATGCATTTCGTTGTGTGAATAAATTTTGCAAAATGTTACTCATTTTGCATCAGGTATCTACTTTGTTATTATTGTAAGAAATCATGAGGATGATGGTGCTGAGAATAGGATGATATCATTCTATCAAACTTCATGTTATGCATTTTGTTTAGATTCAGGTTTTGTTAGCAGTAATCATACTACCATTAGCACCCTTATGAGAAGTTTGTTACTTTATTCTGGGCAGTGTTGCCTGGATCATGACATTCTTAAGCAGTAAGCACTTACAAGGACTAAGAAGTGTCTTGAACATGTATTTGGAAAAAGTATATGCAAATCAGCCAAGCAGTTTAATAGAGTTTGGGAAAGATGTTATGATCAACTTTGTTCTGGATCCCTATACTTATTTGAATTAGTTTTGTTAATTGATCGGCCTTCTAGGAGCTTCTAGTTCATGTTTGTCTTATCTGACTTCTATAGGGTCATTTACAAATTCCACAGGTTGCTGTCATTTTATTCCTACATGATATGTTATGCGGAAATCTTCTTATCTTAATTTGGTGTAAGTCCATAAGATTATGGTATCAGATTACTCTATGATGAGCTTTTTTTAAGCGTTATGTTTGTGTTTGTTTAATGGGAAATATATTCTTCTGATGTTTGTTCGTTTAAGTTCACTAGTGGATGATGGAAGAGAATAAAAACCATGTTTGCAGTTTGCATTAGCATTTTGCAGTGCTATATTCTAATGCCTACTTTAAACACAGGTACATGTCCTCATAAAACGGCATGCTATGGCTGATATGCCTGAAACAGATGATGGAGTAGCACAATGGTGTAAAAACTTATTTGTAGCTAAGGCATGTCACTTTTCTTCTCTGCGCTTACTGTTAGGTTTAAAAGCTTCTGTTTGATTGCAGGGCAAGATGTGCAATGTTCCTGCTGCATCTTTATGATTTGATTTCCCATATGTTGTCAACCAATTTATTCTCTTGTTTCTATTGGACAGGATGCTTTACTAGATAATTATATATCAGAGGGCACATTTGGCGTTGAACAAAGACAAATTGGTCGACCTTTAAAGTCCTTGCTGGTATGTCATCGAGGCTTCTTTACAAGTTTCTGGAAGTACAAGCAATACAAAATTCAATCAGAAATATCTTTTCTTCATAAATGAGTTAAAAGGCTATTTTAGACATCAAGTTCTGGCTGTTAAATGCAGTTTGTTCTGCAATCATACTTTAAGCATGCTGCAGTTTGAAATATTGACTTCACTCCATACTCGATAGTCTAGAAGAGATCTATGGTGAAACCACTAACATGAAAACCACTGCTGATAGAAGAGTTCTGCAACTCCATATTCATGTCTTCCTGCTTGATTGCTTATCCTTTCTTTTTCTTTTCTTTTTTTCATCTGTTTACATTTCATTTTACCATAATTGTTCACACTTCTCTAATATGCAAGTTATAAATTTGCATGGGTTGAATAAATCGACATTTAATTCTGAAAAAATCACTGCATATGATTTTTCGTGTTCTCTAAACAACGTGGATCCTCCAGGTGTTTGCATTTTGGTCTTGTGTGCTATCATATGGTGTATTCAGATTCTTCAAGTGGTCAGAGCTCCTGTCGACGTGGAAAGGAGTCGCGATATCAACAGCGGCACTATTACTGGTCGTAATAGTTATGCACATCTTCATTCTATTTTCCCAGTCGGAACGCTCGAGCACAGCAAGGGCTGCACGAACTCGAGCGAAGAAAGATTAGTGTACTTCCCAGAGGTAAAAACTACTCAGCAACTTATTATGAAATGGGAAACTTGAAGCACTTTTCCTTGTTATTTGCAAAGTCACAACTAGAATGCCACTAGGATGTAGACTATTGTTTGGAATTTGTTGTTGCACTTCCATTTTTTGGTCCTAGGCACATATTAGAGAAACCTCGTCTTTTTCCAATTTTTGGTCCTGCAAGTATTATTGAAGTTCCTGGGAAGAAATTTTTGTTATATATGCTTGTTATCTGTCTGGCTGACTCTTTTCTTGTCTCATTATGAAATATGATACAATTCAAGTTTTCCAAGTAAGCATGATAGCCATCTGTTTGGACTTGAGTTTTACTCAAGTGAGTGGCATCTGAAGACATCATCTACACTCCGAAATCTCGTGAGGGCCAGTGGAAGAGCGTTGCAATCTGATCGACAAATGGGCCGGACCCAATTGGGCCTTAGCAAGCTGCTGCTTGGCCCAATATAACGTAGTGGTCGAACCGCTGTCACGATAAAGATGCCGATGACAACGGCTGCGATCAGCCCTCGTCATCAGCCCGTCAAATAAAGGGCGCGTGCCAATATGCCAGCTGTAGTCGAACCAGGCACGCTGATACGGACTCGGGCGCCCGCCGAACCCAACCCCACCCTCGACTCGCACGCGTCGTCCATCCGTCGACCCATTCATCCATCCAACAACGCCCCGTCGCGACGCCTCCCCCTCCGTGGGCTCTCTTTTATCATCTCCCTGTACCGAGAAAGGACGACGAGGCGCTCATTTCATAGCGCTCGCTCCAAGACCGGCCGTGCTCCCGAGCCCCACGAGGCCCCCCGATTCTTGTCCCCGAGCGTGCCCTCAAGAATTATTACGCCCCCTCACCAAACGAATCAAAGCATTCATCCCTCCCTCTCCGAGCTCGAGCTCTTCGCCTTCCATGGATTCGTTTGCCAGTCCTCTTCACCTCGACTCCTGATCCGTCTCCACTCTTCCGGCGGTGGTTGCATCTGCCATCGGTGGTCGATCACCATGGTCTCTCTGGCAGACTCCTCCCAGAGCCCATGCGCCTCCTCCGCCAGGATCCAGCGCTCCCTGGGCCGATCCATGCGCACCATCCGCTCCAATCTCTTTCGGAATGATCCGCCCCCCGTCGCGTCCCCGTCCGCGCGGTCCGGCGCCGTGTCCGAGAACCTGACCGACTCCGTCGTCGACTTCCAGCTCCGGGAGCTCGCCGTTGGACCCCCCCGGCCTTCCGACGCCAAGTCTGCTGCCTCCTCCACCGAGTCGGCAGCCGAGCTGTTAGAGCTGTCGCGGGACTTCTCCGACTACTCCAGCTTCAACTCCGACATCTCCGGGGAGCTCCAGCGGCTGGCGTCCATACCCCTGACGGAGGTGCCCCCGAGCCCTGCGACGTCCGGGCCGGTCGACATCGAGGCACTCGTGATGGGGTTTGGTTCGCCGTCGTCGTCGTCGTCGGAGATGCTCGAGAGCGCTTCGGTCGAGAGCGTGGAGCCGGCGGTGAAGGCGTGCGTGGAGGGACTTGGGTCGCCATCGCCGGAGGTGAAGCGCGCGGCGGCGGCGGGGATTCGGCTCCTGGCGAAGCACCGGTCGGACTTCCGGGCGCTGATCGGAGCTTCGGGGGGTATCCCGCCTCTTGTGCCGCTGCTGAAGAGCACAGACCCGGCTGCGCAGGAGAGCGCTGTGACGGCGCTGCTGAACCTCTCCCTGGAGGAGGCGAACAAGGGCCCCATCACGGCGGCGGGGGCGATCAAGCCGCTGGTTTACGCGCTGCGCACGGGGACTGCGGTGGCGAAGCAGAACGCGGCGTGCGCGCTGCTGAGCCTTTCGATGATCGAGGAAAACCGGGCGACCATCGGAGCGTGCGGGGCGATCCCACCGCTGGTGGCGCTGCTAGTCGGCGGGACGAGCCGGGGGAAGAAGGACGCTCTCACGACGCTGTACAAGCTGTGCTCGGCGCGGCGGAACAAGGAGCGGGCGGTGAGCGCGGGGGCGGTCCCCCCGCTGTTAGAGCTGGTGGGCGAGCGCGGCGGGGGCACGACGGAGAAGTCGCTGGTGGTGCTGGGTAGCCTGGCGGCGATACCGGAGGGGAGGGAGGCGGTCGTTGCGGCTGGGGGGATTCCGATGCTCGTGGAGGCCATCGAAGCGGGCCCGGCGCGTGGGAAGGAGTTCGCGGTGCACGTTCTGCTCCAGCTCTGCGCCGACAGCGCCCACAACCGTGGCCTCCTCGTCCGCGAGGGCGCCATCCCACCGCTCGTAGCGCTCTCGCAGTCCGGCTCCTCGCGTGCCAAGCAAAAGGTACGCTCCACCCTCCCTCCTCCGCTTTCCTCCCGACGGCACACCGCCTTCATCATCCTCAATCTTCTCTTCTTCCATTCAACACTCCGAAAGAGACTCACATCGCTGTCTGTGGTTGTACACAATGTTAAACACAGGCGGAGATGCTTCTCGGGTACCTGCGGGAACAGCGGCAGGACGGTGGGGCGACGCCGGCCCCGGCGAGGTAATTCGTGATCGGTAACATGGCAAAGATTACATTTTTCCCGTACAGAAGCGAACCATTTTGGTCTCTCTTCACTGTGAATGAACCAATCAGAGTCTGGATCGGGGTCTGTGGTGTCTGGTGTGAATGCTGGCTTCCAGGTTACGATGACGGGGTTAATGTGTGTGGGTGGTGGGGGGGTTTGGGGGGGGGCGGGGACTGTAAGATACTTGCCGGTCGCAAAAAACCTCTGGTTTTGGTGTGTCATCAATCAAAATTGCTTCTTTCGTATGCTATCAAATTGGGTTTTATGAACACTTGATCCACCAGAGTTCAATCGATCGACAGAGCTGACTGGAAGCAAAATTCTTATCATGGCACTGAAAGCGTGCATGTTGCGTAGCTAACTTTTCAGCTTTGCATCTTTGCTTTTTCCACCATACTTTATTCATGGTCAGAGGTTTGAAAACAGCGTTGGGCATCCACGGGCGACCTTTTTGTAGCTTCGCTCGCTGGGAGAGCTCAAAAGGGGCGGCAACCCACATCGCCTCCACGCCATCGGAAATTAAAATGAAGAGTTCGCCGCCTACGTAAGACGACATCGTCCGAAAGCAACGCCGTGGTGTGCGCTATTCGTCGAACAGTTGGTATGCGGAACAAGCAGCAGCGTTCAGGAGACACGAACGGGGCGTCGTCCACGATAGTTCGGTATCTCGACGAAATCATCGCTAGTGTGCGCGCATGAGTTTTTCTCTCTTAGTTCGGTAGCATCCAACTGTTCGACGAAATAACATCGAGAGGTGGCCTTCAAGTAGTGATCACTTCTCATGTTAGTCGATCATCTACTTGGGAGAGCATTTTATTGGGTTTGGAGAGGACAAAGCAGGGGGTGGTGGAAGCGTAGGCCACCCATCTAATCAACCACTGGAATGGACTTTTCTTGCATCTCCTGGTTTGCCGTTTTCAATTGCAAAGATCGTTTTAATAGAATTATTTTCTAAGATAGGAAAGATGACATTAAAAATATGTGTTGTTTCAATATTTATTAAAAAATACTAAAAAAGAATGATAATTTACCTAAGGAAGCCTCCACTACTTACTTTCTAACTGATAACATTCCTTTATCGAAAAATTAGGGGGAGAGATGTTTTTTTTTAATCTCAATTTTACTCTTCTATTCCAATCAATTAAAAAAAAAATGTGATAAGAATTTTACCCTCTCATCCTCTCCTCCTCTCTTTTTTATCGACTCAAGTTCTTTTTCTATCTTTTCTCTTCTTCCTCATCTTGTAATGGTGAGAGAGATTTGGGAGGGTGATGACAGATTTCGGAGGGTCAATAAGTGAAAATGTGATGACGGAGAAGATGAAAAAATAAAAGAAAAAAAAGATGGAATATCAGAGTAGTCCAATTTAGTTTGATTCGATTAAATATAAAATTATATATAAACTTAAATAATAAATGACACATTTACCTATTTATCAAAGAGTATGTCTTTGGTAAATTCTCAATAAAAAAAGTGTCCTCTGATAAAGGCATTGCAGCAAGACTCATAATCAACTATCCCTTCTCGAAAACAAACACTATATATAATAATAATAATAAATAAAACATAAAAGAAGAACTATTCTACTTAACTTTCATGTTCTCTCATTGGTCAGCCATCCTTGCTTTTTTAGAGATATTAGTGGATATGTGGTCTATTCCAGACCTAACACAACAGTTTTGATGGTGATAGACAAAGATTCTCGTGCAATTGGGTCAGCCAAACCCTAAAACAGTAAAAAGAGGAACAATTCTCGTGCAGTGATATGAGTGAGTGTATGGCATCATTGGTGGCTGAAAACGATTGGAGGAGTAGGAAGTGGTCAAGATCAGAGGGTGAGTAGCACTTTTAATAGTGTCGATTCCTGGCACATCTCCTGCCACCCAGTCCGAGTCTGGTTGGATCACAATGGTTGCTCATCAAAGGTTGATTGCATCCCATCCCATCCAAATGTTGATTGAATATGTTTAAACAAAAGTGATTTCTTGGACTATCATCATATTAATTCAAAATCTGATCTCAACTTGGACTACTCTTTTTTTTTTCTTTTTACTTTTTAATTAAAAAATGCTAACTCACCTATTTGTGTGTGAGAGAAAAATATATTTATCTTGAATAATATAGATAAAAATAATAATATAAGAGCATTCGATTAGATATCATCCTATCCTATGGATCCGATACTAATCCATTCTTAACGAAGATCCGATAATAATATAAAATTTTATTTTTTTACTTTTTAATTTAAAAAAATGCTAACTCGCCTATTTGTGTGTGCAGAGAAAAATATATTTATCTCGAATAATATAGATAAAGAAAAGTGATATAAAAGCATATCTAGATACATCACCCTACAACTCCTAAGGGGAGCCATCATATCATAATTATAATGCTTGATGATTTATTATTATGAGTCTTCACAATCAAATAATGATCGATGATTTTATATAATAATTTTTTTATTTCAATTTAATAATCCTCATGTGCCTCCTTTGGATCATATAAGAATACTAATTTATATTTTTATCTCCTGACTAAACTAATTTAAGTGCCGAAGAAATCTTTATCATATACCTCTAATGTAATTTTTGATTCCCTATCAAATAACGGGTAGACGTGTCAAACAACTAAAATATACGGTAACAATTGTGATGCTTTGTTTCGTCTAATTTGGTCATTGGATTTTTCTAAGTCATATTGTACTACTGTTAATTAGGTTTCGAAAGAATATAAAGTACTAAATCAGGTGGTGAAGTACAACAGAGATGGTGGCCGAACACCTTGACGATAGTTCATCTTACCAAAGTCCATAAAGCAGGCAACACATGGTTCTTGGAGTGCACTCTCAACATCAAGCTACATTCTGCTCTGTGGTCGTCACTCTTCCACCAAAGAGATAAGATGCTCTTTGTCTCTCTCTCTCTGTCTCCGTGTGGTGTGTGGGATGTGACTTGCGCTAATTGGCCCCAAAGACACTCGTTCCCCAGATATTTATTTATAGTCACTTTGTACACAAACCAAATGCAAAAGCAGGTAAGGATGACAATTCTTGGGCGAATAAACTTTTGACAGTCAAAGGATGCGTAGTCTTTGGTTGGGTGTAGTAAATAAAGTCATTATGGTAATGGTTGCGGAATGGATTGTATGGTTCCTTTTTAAATGTTTTTTTGCGAGAATTTTTTCTACTCTATCTATTCGTCGAGTGGAGAGTATTATTACATATGTTTACGGAAGGCAATCAGTGTGTCTACCGACTTGCTTCGTTTGCTAAAGGGTCCCAAGAGGGATCACATTTAGACGCAGAATTGACATCCTGACTTCTTCTTCTATGTATTAGGGGCTAATTACATATTATCTTATTTTAGATTTTTTTAAATATTTTAATATTTTAATATTTTAAAATTTTATAATTATAAAAAAAAATATTCAGATCTATTTATCATAACGTCATCAATTTTATCGACAAAAATATAATAAATAAATAAATAAAATAAATTTAATATCCTAGTTACGTTTTCAGTGGTATCATTGGAGCCTACGAATAACTATTATGGATAAGAAGGAAGAGCGACGATGAGAGTTAAGGTAAAGGGAGAAGAGGAAGATGATAACATAGATACCGATGCTCTTCATTTGTATTGACGTCGCGTCGAGCAACAACTACGTTGTCGCTGATGTAGATACAGAGTGGCATTACTTGCATCTGCATCGCTTTACATCTGTGTCGGTACCGATATAGATCTCGATCGACCCTTTTCGCCTCTCTTCATCTGTGTTGACGTCACACCGTAACCCCATCCTCCAACTCTAACCTAGTAGGACAACCTCCACCATCTCCTTAACCACCTCATGTCACTGCTTCATGGTTGTCCATCGAGGATCTACAAGCTTCTTCGCTCGAGGTATCATCGTGGACTTGGAGGTGAGGAAGTAAGAGCTAGAGGATGAGAAGGCCACAAAGTGTGAAGGGAGATAGTAAGATTGGGATCACAAGAAGCGCAAAGGGGGCAAACCTACGCCAGTGATGCAATAACCAACAAAGAGAGAGTGGTAAGCGGCACAAATGACTTAGCGGATGTGACGAGCCACAAGGAAATTGGTATAATGGACGAATGTGTCGTAGGCCCAACAAAGAAAGGCCACATTCGGCTCACAGTAAACCACTGCCCTTTCGCCGCTCTACATATGTTTTGGCATCGATGAAGATGCCAAGTAATACTTTCGCTGCTTTGTATCTGCATTGATGTCACTTGGCAACTATATCGACATCAATGTAGATGTAGAGCGTTAATATCTACGTCACGTCTTTCTTCTCTTCCTTTGTCTCACCTCTCGCTATTGCTTTCCCTCCTCATTCACAACAGTCACCTGTAACCCCAACGATGTTGTCGTCCACCACCATCGAAAGTGTAATTAGGATATTAAAATTATTTTTTTACTCATCGCTTTCATATTTTCGTTAGTAAAACCAATGACGTTAATATAAATAGACATAGATGTTTCACTTTCATAATAATACGAATCCAATATAAATTTTTAAAATTTAAAAATCAGAATACTAAAGAGTTCTAACTTTATAGAGTAATATATAATTAACTCTCTATTTTATGCGTCTGATGCCACTTCTCATAATAATTTTGAGAAAAAAATTACGTATATCACAGATTGTAATTATCTTTTACAATAATTGGAATGTACAGAGCATGATGATTAATATTGATTTTTCCCATGGGTATTATTATATCAAGCAAAATTGCTCCTCATGATTCTATATATTTCATATTAAAAATGTCCTTATCAACTTCTTCCACACACAACAATTTAGAAGACTCGGCAAAGGAATCCTTCGAGCGGCGGTCCGGCTGAAGCTTTATCGTGGTGGCTTTGTTGATCCCACCAAAGCAAGCACAAAGCATTCTTTCTTCTACATTAATTATCCTTCCAGATTTTTCACTGTTCTTTCTGCGGAAATCATTTCGATAAGTAGAAAAATATTGGAAATCGGCAAAAGGCACTGGATTGCTTTTGACTCCTGGTAGAAGAAAAGGAGACACCAGCTTAGGCCTTTGAAGCTCCACCTGACTGTCCTTTCATCATTTCGCCTCGCCTCGGACGACTGTTCTTATTCTTCGACTCTCCTCGATTTCCCGTGTCGTTCTTTATCTCGCTTTAAAGATTCGATTTTTATTGGGATTTCAACTACGCTTCTCTGGGGTGGCTTCGTTTTGAATTTTTTGGAAGTGATGTGCTCCTCTGAGGCATCAAAACTGGATCTTGGCTTTTCAGACTGGCGTTGGGGAATCCGGAGGCAAGGGTTTCAGTTTCTCTGAGTTCCGCAGACAAAGCCTCTAGGGTTTTATTCCCTTTGTAACCCGCAGAACAGTCTCTGGAAAGCAATTTCCAGCTGCCAAGATTTGTCTTTTCCCCGAGTTTTCCTGCTTCCGAGTCTCAATATTGCCTCTGATTCCGACTTTGCAATCTCAAATTAGGTACCGAAGGCCGGGACGTCACAGATTAGGTTTGGATTCTTTACAGCCTCTCTCCCGCTATGTTTTCATCTCAATGTTTAGCTTAACTCAATGCAGCTCGGTAATCTTTTTGCAGCTCCTGCCTGAAGTAATGAATCCTGTGAAGCCAAGTCTGGAGAGCATCAACAAGAAGCCCGATACCTCCACTGGCGCATTTAGTTCTCTGGGGTTTGCTGGTTTCCTTGATGTTTTTGTCCACCAAGCTCGCGACGTCCACAACATCTGCATCTACCACAAGCAAGATGTTTATGCCAAGCTCTGCCTCACCAGCGACCCCGACGCTGCCGTCTCCACCCAGATCGTCAATGGGGGTGGGCAGAACCCGGTCTTTAACGAGAATCTGCGGCTCGGCGTGCGAACAATTGAGTCGTCGCTCAAATGCGAGATTTGGATGCTCAGCAAGGTGAAGAATTACTTGGAAGACCAGCTGCTGGGATTCGCGTTGGTAGCCCTCGCCGATGTCCTTGTGGCCGATGGCAAGCTGGTGCACGAGTTCCCCCTCTCATCCACCGATCTCTTCCATTCCCCTGCCGGTTTCATTCAATTGTCGCTCTCTTATGTTGGTGCCTTGCCGGATGTTGTGGCCCTTGCAGCGGTACCCAATTCCATGGTTCCTGAGGCTTCTTTGCCGGATGCAGAAAATGAGGATGAGATTCCCTGTGAGTATCAGAAAATCGAATTCCCTGACCTGAGAGTCGTTAACGAGAACAGGATGATGGTTTCAGAGCTCTTTGGGATCCAATGTACCACCATGGAGACGCAGAATTCTGAAAGCTTGAACACTTCAGAGAGTGGCAATTGGTCGAACGAGGAAGCAGGGGTCCGTCTTGTTGAGAGCTTCTCAGCTGCTAATAGTCAAGATTCGATTGATATTCCTGTAAGCAGTTGTAGCGCTATGGGATCTCATATCATGCTTCCAGCCACATCTTCAGCTATCTCTCATGTTCTCTCAGCCATGGCATCTCCAAGCCCTGAAGTTAGAGATGGCGCGGCTGATTCCTCTCCACAGCTGCAGAATACAATGGTGAAGCCAGTCATCAGCGTAAACATTGAGCCAGAACAGACAGTTGTTCAGCAGGATATTGTCGATATGTACATGAAAAGCATGCAGCAGTTTACAGAGTCATTAGCCAACATGAAACTCCCTATGGATGTCGACGACACCTCTTCAAGTGCACAGAATGGTAATGACAAGAAGGTGCCAGCATCAAAGGGGACTGGCTCTAAAGTCTTCTACGGAAGTAGGGCGTTCTTTTGAACTTAGTCACAGATAGATACACAGGTGACTTAAGCTGACATTTCAAGTGGTCATCTTAATACTTAGTAAAGTAATTTTTGGTTGCTGCTTAGGATTATCAAATGGTTATAGGATCCTAATGTTGTTAATTAGTGCTTCTACATGTATATGATCTCCTTATCCTAATGTTGTTTTCACAAAATATTGGGTGCATACTGGCAACTGTAACTGTTATGTTGTTGTCTTGTATTAACCATAATTCTTGCCTTTGGATGTGACCAACACACACAAAATTCTATAGAGTTTCTCTTTTACATGAAATTCAAACTTTTCCAGTGTTCATTGTTAAGTTCTTTACTTGGACATTCAGCAGCCAGTATAAGTTCACATGTTGATGTTCTACTGAATGACATATTGTAAATGATTCATGGGAAAACACTGGCTAATTTGGTGTGGCATCTATTGCTAGCAGTTTCTCTAGGTACAGCAGTTCATTTAGTAAGACACGACTGTCCAATCGCAGCCAATCTGATAGGATGGTGTTGTTCCCCCTATTTACTGTTTTCTGTCGTCTCTAAACATTCTTGAGAGGGTTAAATTAAGCAGAATGCTAGATGTTCATTGCTGAGGTGCTAAATATGGAGCATACACAATTGGAAAAAATGATTTAAAGAGATGATTTGTAATTGTCAGGAATTTGATACGATTGAGTGTTCCTCACCACCTAGTTGGTTATGACAACAATTCAGGTGGTTTTTCTGACCTACTTGTGATGAGATTTTGTAACATTTATTCTCCTCTTTGGTGTCTCACAACTATGTTGGTATCATCTTTGTTTGTGAACTGCTCAAAAAAATGAATCAGTTGATGAACTACTCAAAAAAATGAATTCAAAAATAAATTGTCTGCTTGCTCATGTTTTTTGTTTCTCCTCATCTGGAGGCACATTTCAGTTCTTATATCAACTACAGCAAGAATTTCTAGACATTGAGATACCACATGAAGTTACAATGCTGAACTACTTGTTGGACTGGTTGTGGTCATGCCTATTTGCTAGTGTTTAACATTAAAGAGTTTACACCATCCAAAAACTAAATAGTATATCTCTGGTAATAAAAGTAAAGCACTTCAAGATCAATAAAAAGAATGAAATAATTAAATAATAGAAACTATATAGGATTAAGTTAAAATGAAATGCATACCCATCTGTATCAAGTAGGCTTTTCAGATTTCTCTTCTTCTAATCCAAATATTCAGCATGTTTCTGAGAAGTGAAATTTGAACTCTTTGCAAGAAAATTCTCAAGCTCAGGCTTCAACAAGGTCTTCCTCTCCAAGAGGTATCCTTCCTACCTCAACTTTATTCGCCTAAACTGAACTACATCCTGGTGTTTTCCTTAACCCTCTCTCCATCATCACTTTCTTCGCCCCTGCCAACTGCCCATCAAACACATAGATATTGGAGGGAAGGTTCCAGCATCCAGCATGCTCGGCCTCCAGTTTCAGTAGATTTCTTGCCACCAAATCACCTATATCGATGTTGGTTTAGCATACAACCAGCAAGCATTGCACACCAAACACGTGTGTTCAACGAGTCGCAAGCCCTGTTACAATTCTCCAGGATTCCCAAAGTGATCGACCATGGTGCATACAGTACCCGTCTCCCTTCTTCAACCAAAACCACGCAGACAATGTGACAGCCTTAGGTTTGATTGATGATTGAATCATATTCTCAAATGTCGCCATTGCCTTCGTTCCAAGACCAGGCATTCCACATGCAGCTGTCATAGAACACCAGAGCACTACATATCATCGACAGCATTGGACAAGCTGCCACGTTTGAATACAGGTCTACTAGTGCAGCACCACCAACAGAGACCATATCCTTGAAGCCATATTTGATCAATTAACGACGGTGGCAAAGAGCTCAGCAAAGAATTCTCAACTGCGAACTCGATGTGAAACTTTCGACCATTGTGACAGCATCAGTATTAGATCTATCATTGGCACTCCAAGGACGTATCTATTTCCTCACTGTAACATGAACACTTGTAACATATCGATGAGAGCAAGTGGAAGCAGCTACTCTGAATCGCGCACCTTTCTACCTTCGTGGAGATCAAGGGCCAGGGAACATGAGTGAAGCACAATAACCAAAGTAATGGAAGTGGGTTCTGCTCCTGCCTCAATCGGATCCTCTTATACAAGCTGCAACGGGATTCTTATTCTGTCTGAGCATAAGGTGAGAAACCACGGAACATATCTCTTTCACGCATTATGTCAAACAATCTTCTCGCCGTTCCAGTCTCGCCCGAACTTTGCATACGAGTTCAAGGCGGAAATCACCAGAGGAAAATAACATTCGAACCTCGTTTGAACCACAAACCCATGGGTGGAGGATTCCGTCGAAAAGCTTGCGGGCAAGTTGGATGTGTCGTAGAAGAAGCAGTCTGTGGTGGCAGGAGACTGGAGCGGAGAAGGCAAAGCAGCCGCGCTAAGGACTTGGCGTCAGTCGAGGATGCAGTTATCACGAACAGGATTGACCGGCAGCTCATTAATTCTTCTTTTGGAGCAGCCATCGTGCAGTGTCTGTGTTGCTACGCGCTCGTTCTTTTTCCCCGAAAGAACGGGGCTTCAGAGTGCAAGGAAAAGAGCTCTTGGATCAGTATATGAAACAAAAGGCTCCGAGAAACTCGTCGCACCCATTCATCATCTCATGACAGTCGTCTACTACGTCTCTCTTCCGTGGCCAATTCCTTTCATGTTCTTCTCAATAGTGGCTATATGATAGCATGCCATGAATTTTATTCGCTAATGCCTACGCTCATTCCCGATAAAGCACATTATCTCATAGAGTTACAACCAAGCATTCTAAACCTACGAAATGCAGTACACATTTCGACAAAAGGAAGGTTGTAAGAGAAGATGAGATCACATGAAGTTGTGGATACTCTTAATATCGCTGTTTCTAACTTCAACTATGATGCTACAACTTACACGACCATGTCACAACTGGAAAGTATGAGCAGAATTCTAATTGTCCATAGACAACTACAGATGCTTACAGACTAAAGTAGCACGAGGAAAACTAGAGATCGTAATTAGTTTGTCAGATACCTAAGTTCATCTCCAGGCGCATGAGACAACCAGAGGTCTATTCCTCCACCCGAGATAAAGTACACCATCTCGCTCTTCAAGCCAGTAGTGTTCGGAGTAGTTCTGTAACAGCGTTTTGATGGTTGCATTCACCAGAGGACTAAGAGGGCATGGCCGGAATCCAGCCATCAAAAACCGAGATTTCCATTTCCCAAAAAGCTCGTGTCTCTCCACTCTTTCAGCATCCTCGCAAGCAACAATGTTAACTATGTCCCTCGCAAGGCAGTGCTGCTCAACACTTATTCTCTCCTTGTTGTCTCTTGGGAGAGTCACATCTATTGATTCAAACATGGCAGTATAATATTCCATAGTCTCCAAAAATCTTGGAAAAAATGGAGTAGTGTTAGTGTTGGATTCTTGTTCCACAAGTGTCACTACCTTTGGCGAAAGGCTCTTAACCAATCTCAAAAGCCTATCTCGGTGGTTCCTTGTGCTCACACTCTCATCTGGCATGTGATGTAGCTGAAAAGGAAAGTTCACTGCCACTGCCTCCCCTGGCCGAATGACAATGTCCTTGAGTTCCACATCACAGCCTGACATGGCGGCACCATGGAATTCAAAGGGCACGTTTCGAGATTGAGCAAGTCTAGATAGTCTCTGCCCCACGATATGTAGGCCACCACCCCTTGCATAAGCAGAATTGGAATCATCAACTCCGGTTATTCTTATGTGTGGAGGACCACCAGGCCTTGCTGAAAGGGCTTGAATGAGGGTTATCCACTGGCTTCCCTGGGCAATCTGGAAATCAATTATGTGAATCATGTTCTCACCCTTGACAGCCTCAGCAATTGCTCCATTTGCAGATAAGTAGCCGAATTTGAAGTATGGACAGACCTCATAAAGAATATGCATGTAGGAGAGGAGGTCAGAACTAGTGGGTTCTTTGCACTTCAATGCTTTGTAGATGGAACTACCAGAGGAAGACAGCCTAGCTATGAGGCCTTCGAGCAAGTAAGCACCCAATCTTTGAAACGGTTCCCCAGAAACTGAAACCATCTGCTTCAACTCTGAAATTAGCCATTCAATATTAATCATATCATTGTCAGCAACAGCTCTAGCACAGGCTATGAGAAGCTGTTTCAAGTCTCCTCTGGGAATTCCCATCACTTGTCTCCATGCATCTGGCTCCAATGAAAGATGGCCCGGATAGGTGTTTTCAAAGCTCTCAACTATATCTGAATCAGGCCCTAGCATTGCAGTCTCTATCTCCCTTAACCTGATTTTAAGATCATTTGGATCTTCAGTAACACATGAAGCACTTACTGAAGATCCGTAGACAATATCATATTGGGAATCTTGCTGGGATATAGGGCTCCCACTGGTCGACGAGAAACTTTGGGAAGATGGAGAATTATGCATGTTATAATTAGCAGTTGCCAAGGAGGACTCTAGAGTGCAGAATTGCACATCACTTGTCTGAGATTGAATTTTTCTTTGCTGAGTTCCATCATCAGAAGAAAAATAATGCACAGATTTGTGATTTTGAGGCATATAACTGGACTCAACATCTCTAGCAGGCATGGAGTTCTGATGATATGTTGACTGCTGGTGTTTGTCAAAGACCGAGTACTTTTTAGATGCTTGCATTGAAGTATAACCCACAATGTAGCCTCTCGAGGGTCTAATAAAATTAAAATCACAGTGACTGGAGGAGCATTCTTCTGAAGACTATTTTTTGCTTGCCTGAGCTTTTTTGTCTTATCAAAATAATTTATCTGAAATAGACATATGTATAGGCATGAGCACCAAGATAACTCCATATTAATAACTGACGCTTTCACCAAAGAGGCAAAAACATTATGATTCAATAAATGTGGTTAAGAAAAGAGTAGGAATGAAGATTGTTCCAAAAAGTGTCAGTAGCAAACAAAATTCAAAGGCGAGGAGAGGGGACATGAGAATATGAGAATAATCATTAATATGAAAGTCAAAAGAATCAGCAATACACAGGCATTCAACAATTTATGTAGGCGTCAGTGTGCTTAATTACATAAACATTTTAGATTTAGTTCCAAATTCATCTCACCTTTATGTAAAGCAATAAGTATTACAAAGGGGAAACAAGAAGAAATACAATACATAAAACACATGTTATATTAGTGCAGACATTAATTGACTGGAAGCATGACAACATACAATTATGATAAGGTTTATTTGCTGATATCATGAATTTCTTATGGTTCCAAAGATAGAAATTTGAACATTTTAAAAGAGAAAGACTTCAACTGTGTTATTATCCTTTGAGGATTTTATATGATTTTTATAATAAAAAAACTGACATTATTCTATTTCCATGTTGATTAGATGTTTCATTTAACATGAAGAATTGAGACTAATCCTAGATACAACCACCACAGGTACCATACCAGAGATAGACAGACTCCATACCGGCTTGTAGTTTTATGCATCCTAGAATTGTAAAACATAACAGAAGAGCATATATCCAAAAAGGTAGAAGGAAAATAGATCTGCAACATATTTTGAAGGACTAACTTCATATAATTTATGAGATATATGAAGGCCGAAACCCACCTGATCAAATGGCTACCTAATCCACCAAGACAACATGTCCAGGAAGAAAAAGGCTAGCATCAACTAAACAAACCACAAAGAAAGAGGAATGGAAGAAAGTGAAAGTCAAAGCAAGGAGAAGCATAACAGAGTGGTTGCAGATCTGAAACTTAAGTATCTTCTTTTCTTTCCATAAAAAATACATAATTTTCTCAAACGAATTCTGCAAAAGACCCCAAATCACTCCATTTTTCCAAGCACAAACCCTAGTTTAGGGGGAAACAAACAACCTATGCATAGAAATTCCTTTCCCGGTATAAAAACTTTGGACATAAAACCCTTGATTAAAGCTTCTACACCTCAATCAAAGGAGAGAAGAGAACCTTCCCATCATCAAGAGCCCATTAGGAAGGAAGAAGGAAAAAGATAGTAGGAATCCCGGGTTAATCGGGAGGATTCCACCGATGTAAGTTCCCAAAATCAACACCATGAAGTTACATAAACCTTAAACAGAAGCTTGAATTCACAGCTCCATCAATCAATCCCACAATAAAAAAAAGGAAAACTAAAGAGAAATCAACACAACACAAAAAAATCAACAAACCCCACGACAACGAAAGCCCCACATCCCGTAGGAACAAAGTGCTTGATGATCGACTCTATCACTATGTAATTGCTCAGAAACATGCATATAAATCACAGCAGACGAATCAGGCTTCAGCTTACCTTGTAAGCACCTGAGAGTAGCAGTCGAACACATCCAACAGAGCTCAGCGGAACAAGACCGAGGTTTCCGCTTCCAACTCCCTGTGAGCCAAGCGGAGGGGATGGGCATAAAGACACAAGAGGCAACAACCGCATGGGCTGAAGTGTCCCCGTGGAATGTTCAAAATTACTTTGTTGCCACTCCACGACTTGATGATACGCTGGTGCTGGAAGCGCCAAGGAGACACGTGGAGCAAGACGAGGCGAAATCGAAGGTATTGGGGATCGAACGGGATGGGATTAAGGATACAAAATGGAGATGCGAAACCGGGGGCGGATGTCCAATTTGGTCAAAGTGACGGATTGAATTCCTTTTTAATTTGGGGGGTTTGGGGACTAATTTATTTTGACCGGCGGGGGGGGGGCAGGCGAGTCAACCGTGCGGGCGAATCGAATGGCCGTGGGAAGGTAGCCATCTGACCCACACGTTTCCGCGGACCGCCTTCCGATATGGAGAAGGTTCCTCCATGCCTTTTCTCCCGCGTTTCCCTTCCCGCTTCAACACAAAGGGGGGGTTGGCCGGACGACCTCTCTTTTGGCTGCTGGAGTTTATCCGACGAGCATATTAGAATATATTTTTATTCATATTTATGATGTAATAATCATATATATATTTATGATATTGAAATAAGAACTTATGGTAAATTAGGTATCCAAAATAAATATTCTTTGGAGAGTTGTATCATCATCGATCACCATCAATCAAACACCCAATGACAACACCGTTTTGTCATTTAATTGGCCCAAAGATGTGCCAATATCTTAGCACGCGGAATGACTAATCTCTACGACGAAACAATAAGAATCTCTAAAGCATCATTATCATGATGATAATGACAACGGCATCAAAAGCGGCCCTTTCTTAAGTTGGTCAGTGCTTTTGGCAGCTGATAGGAAGCCATTGTCGAAAGAATGCATCCGAGATGATGGTGGAATCTTCACTCCGTGTCTTCTTTCCACCCCCCCATGAGAAATATAAAAGTAAAATTGTTTATTGGAGCAACAAATCGCATTATATAATTAACAATCTTTCATGTGTGTATGCAAATCGCATGACTTTGTTAATAAAAAAGGTCATTTGACAAAATAATGGCTTTTAGCAATTATAATTCTATATTTGTAGCTAAAAACTCCTTAGCGACAAAAACAGGTAAGATGGCAAAGTAATACTATTAATTTCCCATCACCTTTACCTTACTAAAGTTTGGATGCCTTGTTTTTTTTAACAAGCATTGCTGTATTTTCTCTCATATTCTACGTATATAATTTTTTTTTCTTCTAAATGTAAGTGTGAATTAACGATCTTACTATCGACAGATAAGATTTAGGCTAGTTGACATTCTAAATTTATATTTGTTATCTCTAAAGTTATTCGTAAGGTAGGGTGTTAGGGATGACATGATTAGGTTTGAAAGAAAAACATATTGATCCGATCCAAGATGCTAAGACTATGTTTGAAAATATATTTATATTTTTAATATAAATGCTTCGTGTAATTATGAAATGCTTCATGTGTGTTTGGTAAAGAAAATTATAATATCTTAGTTTGGTCCTTGAATTTGTAGTTGAAATGTTTTAGTAGCAACAAAAATCATATGTGTTAGTAGATATATTAGGAAAATATTTAATGAAGTTTCTCTTCAGTACTATTAATGATCATAGATAGATTTCTTTTTCATCTTAATTAATAGCTAGGAGTGTATGCCTTACAAGTGGAGTTCATATTGCTACCAAATCTTTGAAGTTTGACCATAGCCAGACAATCAAATCCAATCCGTTCCAAAGATATCCAAAGTTAGGGATCAAACCACACAAAGAACTAACCCACAAATCGAGGTCGGACTTAATCTACTCAAAGTGAGACGTCGTGGAGCCCCCAAGCCATGCTTTGTGCCATGACCTCAATCATCCATCCCACGACTCGTGACTTAAGTCGTAACTACGCAAACAAGATGAGGAACTCCTCTCTTCTCTCTTCCCAATGTAAAATATACTTTACTATATCAACTCCATACTTAATCCGAATCCAATTTATCATTCGATCAAGTTCAATATACCTCGTGAACATTTGGAAGCTCGTATGAATGTGGTGTCGTGCACGTACTTGCGTGTGGATAACATGGCGTGATGACATCAAATAGTATTTCTTACGTATTCTCTTGTTGCCGATGAGATAAGAGTGATTGTATTGAGTAGTGTTTTTTCTGAGTTTGGATTATTTTATATATCTCGTTTAAAGTTTATCACTCAAAATGTTTCTTATTGTCGATGAGATTGAGTGATCTCACGAAGTGGTGCTTATAGATAATTCAAATTTATTCTATACATCTAGATTAAAGTTTATAGCTCAAGATATTTATGCTCAAGTTAATATTAAAAATTAAATTCTAACAATAGCCTAATAACTATGTCTAATACTAAGTTGACTTATATTATTTTGCCATGACTCGATTTCATTCCCACCCCACTATATATCGATGTAAGATTGATCACAGTGTCACAACGTAAGTCGACTTTGACTTAGTTTTGGAATAGATATTATCTTTTTAATGTTTATATTGAATATTTTATTATCGTGGATGGATAGTAAAAGAATTGCTCGTCGAAAAATCATTAAGAGGACATCTAGCAATTAAGATAACGAGTGTTTCCCAAGATGATCGATCATGAACACACTATGAACTATTCTTTTCTCCACTAAGAATAGAAGAAGATCAAGCCATACCTTTAATAAAAAAAAACAGAAAACAAAAAACACTTGGAGTTAAAGTTTTATTATTATATGTCAATTGGATGGGACCTCGACAACAACTAAGATAGCTATCGACACAATCAAGATGGATTGCAGTTTTAACTATTGTAGCAAAGGTGAGGCATAAAAGTGATATTGGTTTATGACTAATTAGGCTTGGGAATCCCATGTAACATTCTTTTTTTTAGATTTTGTTAGTGGTAAAGATAAGATGATATTGTTTAGATTTTGTTGGTGGTAAAGATAAGATGATATTGTTAGATTTTGTGGTCATTTATAATTGGATAAGATATATATATGTATATATATATGTATATGTATATATATATGTATATGTATATATATATGTATGTATATATATATGTATGTATATATATATGTATGTATATATATATGTATATATATATATATAATATAATATAATATAATATAATAAATTAGATTCTGATGACATATTTTGATCAATAGAAAAGAAGTCTACTCAAAGTATGATTCCTTAGGAGATAACCGGAGAAACTTTCCTAATTGCTTATCCTAAACCCCTCTGCTCTCGCCTATAAATAGATAGGACCTTTACGTACTATGAAAACAGGAGAAAGATCTAGTTTCTCTTTACAGAATCTTGGATCTAAAGACGGTGTCATTGCAAATCAAACAGAGATATATTTCAGATGACATCAAAAGGTACGCATCATAAAATTAGAGCTAATTATTTGATTTTAATCCTGACATAAAAGATTGTTTCTGCATTTCATATAACATATTATAGATTTTATTCTAACAAATATTGCATTATCATCATTTGTATCAATTATAGATTTTATGCCAACCGATATAGTATATTATAGATACCACAATGTCACGACCTTAACTAGAATTGTTTAAGGCGTAAGGTACCCTTGCGGCAAAGACGCGAACTTAGTTTGCGTTGACCCTTACGGTAAAGACGTAAACTTAGCTCGCATTACCTATGTCACGCTTCGCTCTTACGATTTGTGTCCGCAAAGATCAGCCCACTTGCAATCTCTTGTAGGTCCTAAAGGAACTGTAAAAAGAGAAAGTTGATTAGTTCAAAGAACGAGCGACGGAAGTCCCGATGTCTCACGAAAAGGAAAAACTTTAGAAGTAATTCAGCGAGCACCTCTTATGTATAAGAGAAAAGAGGGAGAGAGAGAAAATAATTATTTTAGAAGGATGAATAAACTGCAAGTCCAGAAGAATACCTTTTTTTCTATATTTTTAATATGAGAATTGAAACGTGCACCAACACTTCAGCACAATATAGCTAAAACGTAAATGCGACACAACTCAAAAGCTACGTACTCGACACACATCTGACACCTCCGCATCATGAGGATGACACACCATAACATCTTATAGCTAGGTTAATCATGTCGTTGCTATATGTCAGATCTGATGGTGATGTTATCATTACATATTATGATAGTATAGTTAATCTCCCAAGCCAGGATTCTACTTGGATTGTTGATGATTCAGTTGCTTTATTTTATTTGATGGTGTGGACTTTTTAGAAAGATTTATGTAGAAATCAATATTGAATGCAAAATTGTATTAAGCAACGTGAGATATGTTTTTGAAATACGTCTTAAATTAATTTTTATAGATGATAAAGGTTATGTCAACATCTTTGATAATGAAAGTTGAAAACTCTTAGCAAATAATCATGTACTTAGTTAAAAGAAAGAAAGACAATAACAAACAAGTGAAATCAATTTGAGGCGAAATGAATATAGTTGATAACTCTACTAAATTATAACATAAAAAATATGGTCATATTATTCAAACTTATACTCATTGATTGTTTAGCTAGTAAATAATATAGAATTATATTTCAAATATTATTTTCTTCTAGAAAATCAAATATTTTAGATTTATTTCATACTTATGAATGTTTAAACTCTTTGGTGATGTTTAATATTTTAGTTTTTTGATAATTATTTTAAAAATATTTGGACTTTTGCTTTAAAACATAAAGATTAGATACTTAATGTGTTTTTATGTCGAATGAATATAGAGGATCATTTAGAACATATTACAGAGAACATAGTATCGGTTTTGAAGAACAGTTCCTATTTAGGAGAATTTAACTATAGTTCATATTCCAAAAGTTGATAAATCAGATTATTATAGGTTATATACATAAAAAAATTAGTTATAGATTATGGGACCCTAAAAAGAAAAGATAAAGATATGATATTTTTTTTAAGATTAGACTATTAAAGATTTTGAGAAAATTCAAAAGGCAAAGTCATTCAATAAACATCCTATAAATCTAAGTCAGTACCTTCTCTCACGGTAGTCAACGATGATAATAAAGATAAATAGAAAGATTATAGTTGCATGCCCTTAAATGATGATAAACATGCTGAGTAAGGTCTTTTAGAACCATAACCTAGACATCAATAGAGAAGATACACTAAAGGTATGGCAGATAATGGTATAAAATATTTAATTTTTTTATGATAGATCATAGGTATGACAGGACTACTTATGAGATACTTTTCTAATATCATTCTATCCTTATATATGTTAATTATTGATAATTATACTAAGAAAATTATAGGTCTAAGGAGAGTTGGGTAAGAGTTTTACTATGAAAGATTTAGGTTTAATTAAATATATTCTTGATATAAGGTTTATTTATGATAAAAAGAATAATAAACTTTGATTATCTTAAGATAGATATATTAAAAAGATTCTTAACAGATTTAACATAGCGAGTCAAAACTTATTTGCTATCTACTTATAGGTCATTTTAAGTTGAATTCGAAATAATATCCTACGGGTGATAAAGATAAAAATAATATATACAGAGTATCTTATGTCTTAGCAGTTGACAAGTATGTCATATATTGTTTATATAATTGGTATGGTTAGGAACTTCTAGATTATGTTTGTGCTTTGATACCAAAAAACTTGTGTTAGTTGGCTATATAGATACAGAACTAACTTGTAATATTGATCGTAAAAGATTGATTTGATTTGATTTGATTATAGTTGAAATATTTTTTATATAAATCTTATCTAGTGATTTACTTATGTCATTAATTTGATTGGCTTATATTATTAGATTATTTATAATATATTTAAAATTAAATTATATCTTATTTTATTCACATAAAAGAGAAAATAAAAAGATATAACATTTGTAGTTTTCATAATTAATAACTCTTCATATATGTTTTTTTTTCAATACTTATCACCACGGATTCCTTTCCTTAAAGTTATTGTCATTTGATTCACATAAAAAAGAAAAAAAAATACTTTGATGTTTGTAGTTTTCATAATTAAAATCTCTTAATATTTTTTTCAACACCTATCACCTCTGATTGTTCTCTTTAGAGCTCAATAGCCATTCTAGTTTAAGTCACTGGTTAGAGCTCATCTAGATTGAAAAGTAACACAAGTTAATAACTAGTTTGACGATCAAATCTCACGGCATCATGGTTTTAAATGATGAAACTCAAGTTAACATCACATTGTTTTCATCATTGAAATCTTCTATATCCATGAAGATCACTTGAATCACTCTTGGCCTAAATTGATTGGGTCATCGCATCCGGCCACCCAATCAATCCAATTGCCTCATCTTGATAAGGTCAACCTTTACGTTCCTCATATTATTGCACGGAGAGAGAGAACGCTTTCTCTCTTTGCCAAAATCTCTTATATGCCACTATCACCCAATCAATTGACTAAACTAAGATTTTGCTCTATTTTCTTCTTACCTTCTTTTAAATAAATTCCTAAGTAGTTATTGCTTCACCCTCACAAAATCCAAACCCATCGATCTTTTCTTGTCTTTCTCATATATAAATAAATTATAAGAATACACATTATTATTCTCGTATATATGTTGGATTAAATTGAAGTGTCACATAATTATAATAAAGAAAATATTATATAAAATAGACCAAAAAAAAAAACACACACTTTGAGGTATGGAACAAATTAAGATATAATGGGACATGGATCCATAATATTTACCATAATTTAATTTTCAAAAAAGTATGTTCTAAGCTATCCCCTAAACTCTCTCTCTCTCTC